CTGGGGATCAGGGCCTTTTAATCTCATGTCAGAATGTGGCTAGCTTTGATACCTAATTCACCGAGGGCTGTGCTTTTCTGGGAGTGCAAATTCTGCTGCTTTAAACTTGTAGTGGGAGGAAGAGGCTCTGTGATGCTGAATAGATATGATCCTTCACCCTGTTGAAACCTGTGGCTCCATTGGGGTTGAAAGCATGGAAAACAGACATGTACCTCATTAATGTGTATAGATTATGAAAGGGTGGGTATCAAAAGGATGGACCAGGCTCTTCTCAGTGGTGCCAGACAATAGGCAGTGGGCAGAAACTGATGCACAGGGAGTTCCACTTGAATTTGAGGAAGAACTTTACTGTGTGGGTGACTGTCCACTGGAACAGATTGCCCAGAAGGTGTGGAGTCTCCCTCAATGGAGATACTCAAGAACCATCTGTGCACAATCCTGTGCCATGTGCTTGGGCATGACTCTGCCTGATCAGGGAGATTGGACCCGGTGACCATTGCGGTCCCTTCCTACCTCAGCTGTCCTGGGGTTCTGTGATTCTGTTTGCAAGAAAAGCATGCAGTGCAAGAAACTCTGTGTTCTTCCCCTGCCCTGTACCCTGCCCTTGCCAGCTCTGATCCCCTCTGGGTGATGCAGTGTGGGTAGGCTGCCACAGGGCGCTGGAGAGGGAGATGGAATCCACCAAATACTGCCATAACATTGGGTGGTGATGATGGACAGTGACTGCCTGCCTGGACCACTTGAAATCCACTGCTGAACAGTTTAAATCCCAAACTTCTGTGTTACCTGTGGGAGACCTCTGTTTGCAAAATATGACAATAATGGGCCAGTTCCTTAAACCAAATGCCTGAATTAATAATTAATATTTTTATTAATTAATTATTAGTAATCAGAAACTTAGGAATAAGAAGGATAAGTAAGAACAAGTGGAGGAGGTTTTCAACTAAGATCTCAAGGGTCTGGGCTTGGTTCCTTGTTTTTCAGTGGTTGGTTCATCAATGATTTGGGAAAGGGCGAGGGAGAGAATAGCCATGTGGCAAAGCTTTTCTAACTATTCCTGTCCATAAGAAAAACCCTGGTCTTCAGTAGAGAAGTGAAGTGAAATGGCAAAACTAATGTCTGTGACAAGCCATCCTTCAAGACCTATGAGGATGTTGACAGCTGCAGTCTGCATAGCCATTGCATCGCAGCTGTGGGCAAATTGAGTGTTACAGATGGAGGGTGCTTGGTGCCTGGCATCTGGCTGGCAGTGTTTTCCTTTCAGTTGTCTTCCATTCATATTTGCTGAGTCTTGTTAAGTGTAATGTAGGGTAAAGCAGATAGTTTGTCTAGGAACATTGTCTGATGCTCTCTGTGGGAAGATATGCTCTAATTAGTAAAAACAATGGCGTGAAGAAAGTAAGGAAGCCAGGTGTGCCTGTGAGACCAATGGTGAAGATCACCTAATCCTTTCTACATAATTATATCTTGTCAGATGCTTTGATGTACTTTGGAAAAGGATTGCAGGCTCTGTTGGGCCTGAGAGAATCAAGCTGGGGGAAATTGTTTTCATTGTTGATATCAGGGGAGACTCTGATCAGAGCAAAGTGAACAGGATGTTTTTAGCAGAACTTTCGTTCAGGCAGCTCTCATCCTACCTGTGTTCAAAAGTGACCCTCTCCAGCTCTGTTTGTGGAGTCATTTTTCAGATTTTCCATCCTGTATATGTCCCTTCTCCATCTGGGGAGGGGGTAGTGGATCAGGGTTGTCCCCTTCTGCTCTTCCTGAGAGAGAGAACTGCCAGCTGTGGTTTAGCAGAGTTTGGGGAGAGGCAGCCCACCCACTCTGTACCATAGTGCTGTTCACTGCACGTGCAGGGAGGAAGCAGTGCTCTTGCATGGAGTCTGCGGATGTGGTGACTGACATTCCTCTGCTTCCTTCTGTCTTGCCATGAGCCACAGGAATTGTCAGACAATAGACAATACACTGTGCTATCTCTGGAAAACATTTAGATTTTATGAATGTATTTTGGTAAGCATTGGTTGAAAGAATTTAAGGCATTACATTATTTATCAAAAGTGTTAGCCTTAGATAATACACATAAACCCCCACAGTTGTTCTTTATCTTCACATCTGCACCTTGGTATATATAATGAAAAGTATTTTTTCAGTGGAAAGTGAGGTTAATATTTTCCAGCTAAGAGCACCTTTTATTTCATAAGCAGCCAGATCTCTGTGGTAGCTGCCTGCAAATGCCTCTACTTTGGAAAGAAGGAGTGGCAGGTGAAAAGTGGGTTGGATCATCCTACAAAGTGCAAGAAACAAAATATTTTTAGTCAAAGACTGTAGGGCAAAGCCCTTCTTTGTGGCAAAGATCAGCATGACATCTTTCATGGTTGCATAAAGGAGTTTTACAAATAAGAAAAAAGAAGCCTTTCACAAGGCCCAAACAGAGTAAGTAATGTGAGTGATATTCAATTAACCCTTCAAAAGTAGGGGTTAAGGTTGATAATTTATCTGCACTTTCAGACTGTGATTGACAAATTCCTGTGCAAGATCCTGGTTAGGAGAGATTGCAGTATGCAGGTGAAAAGCCTAAGTACTTAGACAAAAAAAAAAGATGATGAACAGCAGGAGTTTATGATCAAGGTTTTATTACTACAGAAATTTAGTTGTTTGATTCTCCAAGAATTATGTAATAGGGCTGCTGCTGAAAAATTATTAATTACTCATTTGGGTTAGAATGTTAGATGAATGCGGCTTTTTTAAGGGAGGGAGGAGAGGCAATAACTGAGCAGTCAGTGCAAACATTTATGCAGTGTACAGAGGTCACTCAGGAAAGTAAATGTCTCGGCATGTAAAATATTTTAATGCCATTAAATACATTGGCTGCATTTCCTCACGGTGAGTGTTTTGTTCGGCTCTAGTTACCCCTCCCTGGACTAAACAGAAGTCCAGTAAGACCAAGGAGAAAAGAATTATGTTCTTTTAGCTGAATCTGTAAGTGAAAAAAGCCAAATTTGCAGAAAAGATGCACAAATGGAGATACCATAGAAGGAATCAAAATTTACCACTTCTCATAATATAAAACAAAAGAATATAATATAGAACAAAAGAATAATTGATGAAATTGAAAAAGGAGAAACTTTAAAACAGCTTTCTAAATTTAAACTGCCCTTTGGAACACTGCCACTTGTGTGTGTCTGAAATGAAAACTTATATTCTGGTTAAATATACCCAGTGAGCCAGACAGCACCCTGGTGTAGGGAAAATTGCCGTGCAGAGGGGTAGTCTTCTCTGTTGGAGCATCTGGGAAGGGTTTACTTGTTGTTCTCTGTCCCAGCCTTTTCTCAAACCGTGGCCATGGTGGGAAGCAGGCAAGTGGTCTGGGTGGTGTGCAGGTGGGAGGGAGTTCGTCAGTGCCTGCGTTCCTGTATGCCCAGGGGATTTATCAGTGCAATTTGAACCTGACATTCCAGGCAGTGGAGATATTTTGAAGTGGATGCTTCAGGCATGGATTTATATCCTCCCTGTATTTTCCATTGTCTTCTGTAATTCCCTGGGGCTGTTAATTATACATATAAATCAAACAAAGTCTCTGTGAGTGTCTAATATTTAAAGTGAAAGTCTAAGGCTTCCAGCATCTGGGGTGAATTATTCTTTTCAGGCCTAACAAAGCTGGCAGAACTTCAGTTAAGGGAAGGACAGAACAATGATGTGCTTCAACTGTGTTTTATGTAATTTGTGCACTTTATGAGGGGCTTTATATTTATTTTATCCCTGAAAATATGATGGATATTTTTCTAACGGGTTTTGAATTAAATTTGCATTTGAATTGCGTTACTTTCTTCAAAAAATACATTGTTATCTCTGACTGAAATGTGGATCAAAGAATCACTTGAAACATAATACAGACGTAGCGCTGCAGACCCTAGCAGCCTGAAAAATAATTGAAGTGAAGTAAGGAATGTTAACAAGCTCAAATGTCATCATCTTCCAAAACCTGACATTTAAGCTGATCCACATTCCCCCTCCTCCTTTATGTGGAATACAAAACCACATACATTGTGGGGTAACTAAAAGAAATGTTTGCTGGAGTTGGTTAAGAAACAGTGGACATGTTATTTTTGTATTACCTCTTGTATAGCCACATATAAGCCTGTTTGAAAAAAATGTAGTTTGTGTAGCGTAAAGATGTTGGGGGAAGGGATAATGAGCTCCTACTGAATGCTAATTGCCTATGAGTTGTTCAGGGAGACTGTGTAAGAATGGAAGATTTGTTGTAAATTAGTCACTAGCTGTATTGTGCATTGCAGTGAGGTTAGACCAGAGCTGTAAAGGTGCCAGCTCTACAAAATCCTGATGATTCACTGTCTAACTTGGTGACTGTGTGAAGGAGAAATTACTGTGCAGACTAAATATTATTAGAAAAAATGCTTCTCTAATGACAGTGTAATCTTTCTTCATGACACTTAAGCTTTAAGCTCTCTTGAGCTAGAAAGATGGGAGTAACAGATTTTGAGTGGGTTATCACTGCTTTTACAGCTGCAACATCCTGAGGTCTGCCAAAATTATAAATGCTGAGAGGAGGGGTATTGCTCTGGAGTGATATAGAGCCCAGCAGATTGATTAGTGCTCATAGCTTGGTGTTACGTCTTTGGCTTCTTTAGTTCCAGTGTTTTGCCTGACCTTAATTTGAGATCTTCTAACCCCCACTTTTAACATGGAAACAAAGTTTTGTAATAGTTTATTTGCTTTTGAGAAGTATTTTCTGATTCCTTACTCGGCTCCTATTGTTTTCATTTGCATCAAAATGAAAAGGTGAGTTAATGATTCATTGGCACACAGTGACCTTTCAAATAGCTCTGGACCACGATGCAGCAGCTCAGCTCGAAGCTCTCATACTTTAACCTTCTTGCTTCTGCTTTAATATTTGCAGCCTGATCTGTCTACATGCCTGGACGCCTGAAGAGAGCAAACATTTACAGCTTCTCCCTCCCCTGTGTTTAGTGGGCAATTTGATCCTTCTTTGTCCATTCGTTTATTCCACATTACTCTTAGACTTGACTTGCTATTGAGAACAACAAAGTGCAACTTTGGGAATCTGCTCTCTGTTTATTTAGCACAAAAATGGACTCAGACTCTGATTCACCTTTTAATTACTCTTGGCCTTCCTTACCTAAAATGAGGATTCGAAGAAGGGCATCCAAACCAGGTAGAAAAAGCTATCTTCTTTTAAATAACTCTTCTTTTAAAAAGATACTTTACAGCTCTGCCTTCTTTTCATTTTCTGCTTCTGTGAAGGTGGCTCTATAAAGAGCTTGTGTGAGGTAGATTTTCTTTCTGTCAAAAGTCCAGCTCAGTGTTTTTTATGCCTTTTTAGATAATGGTGTTGGAACTCTTTAAGTAAAAAGTATTTTTTCTCCAGATTATGTACTGTTAATTGCTATTATTTTTACTTCTTTACTCGCTTATGTTTCTTTTTTTCTCTTCTTGATGTATGTGTAGCTCTCACTGAACTACTCTGACACCCTGGAGCTGCATGGCACAGCAGCAGCTGCAAAACTTCTGATGGTTGCAGTTATTTTCATTTAGGGAGAAGTTGGTGATTCAACTATGCCTCAACAGCTAACAGGTTTTGTTTGTTTTTTAAATTATGAGAAAAAATCCTACCATAATGAAGAGAAAAATCTTTTGCTTTCTGCAAAAGCAAATGAAAAGGGTCAGTCACTGTCTTTGCATAGTTAGACATTACCCATCTATGCGGAGAAATCTTTGGGAGGTAGGGGCTATAAATTCTGTCAGTATGAGAAAGAGGTCTTTTAAGGAGGCTCAAAGACAGTGACCAGTAAGTTTATGTAAGGAAGAGTTATGATTGGAAGCTTTAATGAGGAAAGAAAAATTTTTACTACACATAGAAGCAAAAGACTGAAGACAAAGAATGGCAAAAATATGATTTCTACTTCCTTTCATAGAATTGTGAGTTTTTTTGTGTTTCAGAAAGGCAAAGAAACAAATCAGAGGTGTAAGATGCGTCAGTGTCTTTAAATTCAGTAAACCAAGAGAATGATTTTTACACAGACTGAGACTTTGACCTAGTTTAGAAAGAAAAATGTGTACAGCATACATGCTTTAATGTGCAAGGCACTTCCTAAACTTTTTCCTTCTTTTCCTGGGGAAATCCAGTATTTCCCAACTGCACAGGAGTTTCTGCAGTGTATATGGATGCACATGCAATTTGCAGAGATGAAATGTGTTGCAAGTTGCACGTGTGTGTACTCCATCTAAAAGAAGGACTCATTTTATCTGTAAATACTGTAGCTGTGCATCCTTTATTCACTTTTGTTTGGACAGATTTTTTTTTTTTAAAATATGTTTAAAATCCAGTTTTAAAGCACTGGATACAGATGTGGTGTTTGTATGTTACAGTATTGTAACTTGTTTTCCATCCCCGTCAGTAGTATATCAACACATGTGGCTTGTACACACAGCTGACTTTATTTGTGGGGTTGTTGAAACAAGAAGGTGCTTTTGGGTACCTGTGAATATTTCAGTGGTAAAGTTCAAGGGTTCATTTGTGCTTGGGGGATTGAAATTCTGTGTTGATGTGGTGGGAAAAGTGTCTTTGCAAGGGGAGGGCAAGCTCATGATCTCTTTTTTTCTACAAGTGTCTGAACATGACCAGTTGATCCTGGCGTGCAGGTCTGGGGCACCTAGCTCATGGCTATATTTCATTCCTACAGGGGTTCAGGTCTCAGTGAACAGGAGATTTGCAGTGCCTGGCAGGAAACAGTGCTGGGTTCTTCCAGCCACTCCACAAATCATGAAATCGTGTACCTGTGCTGGGTGCTCCAGCTGTTCTGGACTATGAAATTTCAGCTGCTACCCTTCCCCTCTGAAACATCAGGCTGTTGGCATCCAGACCTAGGGCTGCTCTTCTTGGGAGGCTGGGGAGCTGTGCAGACTGTCCTATTCTTTAGAATGGAGAGTCAAAGTTATCTCACACACCACTTCCCACTATATACATCAGTGTTTTCACATTTTAAGGCCCAAAGTCAGTTTTCATTGCTGCTCAGGAGTGCCTTTTGGACTGTGTGTGCAGCCCCTGCCCTTCCCATGGACTCCTGCAATCTGGCAGACTTCACTTCTTTGGGACATGCATTGCAGATTGCCCCTTCCTGCTAAAGCTGCTGGGCATAGCATATTTAAAGGGTAATGAGACTATACAGAGAATGTGAATGTGATTCTGTCTTAGTGATTGGACGGGGAAGAGGATCTAGGTTTTTTCCCTTGCTGCAAGAGACCAAAAGTATTTATTTTGTTATTTTATGTGAAATTGTCACAAGGCACAGTCCTTGCTCTGCACAGTCCTTCCTGCTCAGAGACAGTGACTCTCAGCCTTTTTGGGAGCTTTAAAAACCTTCAGGGGTGCTGTGAATATCTGTCTCTGATGAGTCTGTCCTACTACACTGAGAGGTGGGAGTTACACACTGAGTCCACTTACGAAGAGGTGTGAAGTGAACATCCCATATGGGTACATCCCATATCATGGGAAAGTAGCATTTTTGGTGTACTGTTCAGTAAAACGAGACACCAACTTATTTCTGTTTGTATATTCATTTGTGTAAGGTGCCTTCTTGAGGGAGGGGTTCAGGACTGTGAATCCCATGTTGAAAACAGATACTTTCTTACAGCTCACATTTAGGTGAAAGGCTTACAGGTGCTTTTATTTTATTTATTTTTTTTTTTAAGTGGCTACCTTAGGACTACATCTTGAACATGTTGGAATTATTTTCCAGCATCTATATGCCTGATCCCCCTTGTTCAGTATATAGTTAACACAGTGCTTTAGTTTCCACTTTGTAGATTTAAGACAGTTAAATGTTCATCTATGACAATAGCATTTCGAAGCCTACATCATTTACCTTCCATGTAGGGTTATTCTCAAGTACTTGCTTAATTTAGTTGTCAGAAGTAGTTGTGCTGTCTGAATGAGGACCTAAGACACCTCAATTAAATCCAGTTCTCTCCCTGAAATTGATTGTATGGGTCATATCTACAGATGTGCATGCCGTTTCAGTTGGACCCATGCTAGGAATTTCTTTCTTAAAATGCAGGTGACCTGGCTTTAGAGCAGTATATCTGCAGTCCTGCATGACCCATGCACTTAGCTGTCTGTATTTTTCACTGACTTCCAATTATACATTAACCCCTGCTCAGATTGCTGGGGGTAAATGTGATGAGCTGTCTGAAAACTATTCATTGTATCTAGAGAAGGGAATTTATAATTTCTTTCCTGGCTCTTGGCTTGGTCATGTTGATGTATTTATCTGCTCTTTTGCTGTGTGTTCTCCAATGAAACAACTTAAGTTCTGATTTTTGTGAGAAAAAAAAAATCAGTGTTGTGTTCTTGCCATTTTCTGACACAGACCATTCAAGGCAATGCATTTTCTTACACCAGCATAAGACATGTTTTTAATTACTGCTGTGATGATGTGGTTTTTTTTAAGTCATAGTATTTGTATAAGCTTTTTGGCTGATAGAATGTGCAGCCTTTGCTGTGTAACTCTACATTATTAGAGAAGATGTAGAGAACTTGTGCCTAGTCACTCTTTGGTCAAGGCCATTTATTTAACCCATGTTTGGAGATTATTCTTCCCAGCATGACATCTAAATAACATACATCTATCGTGACTGTTGATCGAGCAGATGGCAGAGAGCCACAAGCTCTTCTAAAGGAGACATGTCTTTATTCCTTTTCTGTGAACACAGTGTAGAGCCAGAGGGTGTTCAGTTTTGGCAGAAGGATTAGCTTGTTGAGCTGTGCTTGCTGGGCTGTTCCAGCAGCAACGCCAATTCTCCTCTGTTGTATTCAGGTCATTCTTACTTTAGTAAGCATCTTGAAATCCACTTCCAACACCTTACAGAACCTAAACTCTTCTGGGGATGCCTTTGCCAGTTTGTTCTGGCAGTCCTGTTTTTTCACAAACTATGATGATTTTTTGCATCTGCAATGTGAATAACCTTTTTGAATGCCTAGGAGGGATTTTTTGAGACATTTTATTTGAAAATGGATTCTGTTGGTGTTCTTCATCTTTCAGACAAGTGAAGCCTTGCCGTGTGCTACTGCTGGTACCCAGTACAGTGAGCTGTTACCTGCTGCCATGTTAACATGGAGGGAAGGGTCTGCTGATGGTCCCTGTGAGGTCCCCTGAAGGAGGGACTTGTAGCCAGCAAAGCAGGCTGGAGGCAGTTAGTGAAGCTGTGGGAATGCAGCGTGTGATTTGGACATTTGCAATGATTTTGTCACTTTTTAAACTACGTGGGCCTTTCAGGTGGAAATAAGTTACTAGCACAGTCAATATGTGATTAATATTGGTCTCCCCCACATTCAGCAAGGCTTTAAACTTCTCATATTACAAAGTTAGTTTGATGTTGCCATTCCTTCATATGTTTGAAACTGAGGGGGTGAGGGGGCAGAGTGGGAATAAAGAGGTACAGTGGGGTCATACTGCTGTTGCACTCCACGATCTTGAGGGTCTTTTTCAGTGTACAATTCTATGATTCTGTGAAGCCTGGAATAATTTGTTACCATTTAAAACACCAATGAAAATTTATTTAGTCATGTCACATTTAACAACAGAATAACTGGAGCATCTCCAGGAAAATATATGGCATTTAATGGGAATCATTAATAAAGGTTTACAGGCCGAAGCTACTGCAGGTAACACACTCTGTTATAGCTTGTATTTGCAGCATCTTTCTCCAGAATTTGTTACTTTGGTTGTTACTCTTGTACAGAATTTTAAAATAATGCAACGTGTTATTAGAAGGGGGATTTGGGTTCTTTCTGGTTTGGGATGTGCAGTCCACTAAAGTGACTCTGAAGACCCCATGTGACATCCCACCCTGAAGGGGAAGAAATCACCCAAGGTAGATGCTCATGCTCAAAATGAATGACAAAAGCCAGAGAGTCCACAAAAACTTACAAAATTTTAGTAGTAAATTACAACGTGGCATGGAAATTGTTATGAAGTATTTCCTAATGTCCTGCTGTAAGCACACAGCAGTGGGTTTTGTGTAAAGAGGTGGGTTGAAAGAGAAGAGAGAGACAGGGAGATGTATTAAAGAGGGGTAGAGAGGAAGAAAGGGAGATCACTAGTCCTGGCTTCAATGTCAATCCAGCTAGTTGAGTGTTTAGGGTCCCAGGGCTCATGTACAGCCCAGCTTTGGAGGAGTATGTTTATTTAGATAGTTTTTTTATTTTAGATAGTTTTTTTCACTTAGCCTGGAGCTAAGTTTCTTGCTTTCTATACAAATGAGTTTTTCATGAAAATGAGTTTTCATGTACTGTCCAATTTTCTAGACTTTTCTGGAACTGAGTCAGAGGGCTTTGGGGGTCTTGGGTGGTCTTGACCCCTCCCCTACAGTCCATGCCTACTTCTTGACCTCATTCCTGCATTTGAGCTGCATTGTGCTGTTCTTATCTCCAGGATCCAGAAGCAGGACGTTTGCCCCAGAAAAGTGCTGCCCTGCCTCTTGAGCCACATCCTATTCCTTCTCACAGCATGTCATTACTGACAGTCCTTGGCTGGCTCTGGAGCTGTCTGTCTCTCAGTGTTTGAGTTGTACGCATGTGCCCTCTCATCTTGGAGGTTTCTGCACCCCAGCAGTGGGAACTATTGCTGAAGTCAAGAAACTGGCTTTTTAGGCTCAGGTTTACACTGTGATGTGGGAATCCCTGATGCCTGAGCTGTTTTTCAGAAGTGTGTGTTGAGCCTTTGCCAGCCTAGCACAGGAGGTGTACCTTGCCTGCTGTACCCAGCGGGTTTATATACGAGATGGAGTGCAGGCTGGGGAAGGTAATACACATAGTAACAAGAAGAAATGGAGCGTCTGACACTTTTTTGCCTGGTTGTTGGTTTAAGACAAACCCTGGGAAAGCTTTATTTGCCACAAGAAAGTACTGCCAATTTTGCCAAATCACATTTCCATATGACATAAACTGCCAGAGTTTGATGAGCTGCTGTAGAAAACGTATAAAATGCTTTTATATTATTTATAAACAAAGGTTTTGGGATCTTGTCAGATCCCAAAGGAAATGGTTTGCAGCTTCAACAGTTCTCAATATGACAGTCACTAAAATCATGTTAAAATTCTTGCAGGACAGAGAAACAAAATAAGATGTGTAAGGATGTTTTAATGGTATGAGATCCCACAAGGCCTGCCAGGATTTGAAACCAAATACTTATAGTGTGCCATTTCTAAATGGGAATTTCCATCTTTATCTGAGTATAGAGGCTACTGTTCTTCGGCTTTATGAGATAGCATCTTAAATAAAAGCTGTGGTGTATCATTGCAAATTTGGCAGTGGTCTGGGACTTCTTTTTTTCAAAGCAACAAATGCACCAGACCTTAACAAGTGTTGTTTCTAATCCAGCTGTAATTTTTCATTATGAATTTTCTTGCAGTCTAATGCCTATAAGCATCTTGGATGGGCTTTGAGCAGTCTGATCTAATGAAAGACGTCCCTGGGCATGGCTGGGAGGTTGGACTTCTCTTTCAACACAAACCATGCTATATGGCTCTGTGGCTTTACAAAAGCAGTTATGCTGCTTTATTAATACAGTGTAGGGAAAGTCTTTAGTGGTATCTTTTCCTTTACACCTCTGTCAAAAATAAATTTCTGATGCAACATAAAAAAGATTTAAAACATAATATTCAATAAAAGACAAGCTCAAATTAAATTTATTGAGTGGTTTGATTTTGGATATTTTGCTGGGTGAAATAGTTTCCTCTATCACATCATTCTTCTGCTAGTGTGTCTCCATTCACTTCCAATGGCAATGTTTGACTTACATTTTAAGGAAAACTACTTTACAACAGTGATTTATTTTTAGCCTGTTTTCACACAGTCTACAACAAACCTGGTTTCTGCTTTGTTAAATTTTACCTGTTTTACATTGAGAAGATAATCCAACTCCACTGCTGGACCTGGTATGTGCTCTTCGTTCTTACAGCCAGCTTTAAGAGAAGTGGGCCTGCAGGATAGGAGTTTTGCTGCTCAAAGGCATAGAATACACAGCCCATCCAGTCTGTTTAGTGTTTTAGTCATGAGCACACTTCTGCAAACTAAACTCTGGATTTCTGTTAATGATTTCTGGTAAAACTGGTCAAGAGCAGATCAGATGCTATATTCATCCTAAACACTCCATTCATGGATCAAGTCTTGCTTGATGGCTGTCACTCTGTAAAGGCAGTATTACTGATATTTTATTTATATCCCTTTTGCAATTTTATTGGGTTTTTTTGTTTGTTTAGTTGGTTTTGTTTTAAGATCAGTAATCTGATTTCTTGCTTTAAGATTAGTATTTATGTGGCTAGGTAAATTAAGTCTGTAGAATGCTTTAGGAGAATCATTATTTGACTGCAATTGAACAGTATTTCATTTTCTTAATGTATCAGATGACAGGTATTTAATGTATAGGCAGAATCGTGTATAATTCTTCTCAGCCCATAAATATTGTCCCGTGTTCTTCTGCAACCACAAATCTCTGCAAAGTTCTAGTTTAGGTGGAAAATAGAAGCTTTTGCTAACCAAGATACAGGAACATTTATTTTTAGTTACATGAATGATTCTGTGGTACCCTTGAGAGTCTTTGTCAGCTATAGGTTTCCTGGAACATATAGCAAATTTTGGGCAGTTATGAAATGAGCATATTTTGGTGAGGTTGCACAAATATTACTCAAATTGTAATGCTTAGATTTGGTGCTTAATACTTAACTTTTCCATTTTTATGGTAGTATATGTACATGAGAAGGAAATGGTTTGAGATTTAATGGCAAATTTCCCATTTTTTTTTTTTTTTCCAGAGCACAGACACTCTACCCTTGATGTTCTTAGAAAATTGAAGTCTCCCCCTACTTTCTTTGCTGCAACCAGACTTTCTCCCATGCTGAGTGGAAGTGATGAAGTATATGCAAATTGCATGGTAGTGGACCAAGTAAGCTTTTATTTGAACTTCTGACTAATTTTTCTTCATCTTCTGTTAAATTGTTTGCATGATAGTTGGATCTTCTGAATCTGTCAGCAGTGGTGTGCTGTCAATTCATAAAATTATGAATTAAAACAACTAATATCTTACTCTTTCCAGCTATACTTTGTAACCTTTTTATGAGGTCTCCTTTAACACATTCAGTAAATTATAGGAATTATTCTCCCTAGCCTGCAGGAAGAACTCTAAGGCAGATGTTACTGTCTCTTTTGTGTGCTTCTTTCTGAGAAACGTTTGCAGTGCTTGTGTGCACTTCAGATTTCTGAATTCTATGTTCACTCACAGTACAGACAAATTTGTTGCATAATTTCAGAAGTTAATTATAAGTTCACAGTAAAGCTTACAGACTCAACAAAAACAAGATATTGATGAAAAGGTGAAGTTGATGTCCTACAGCTGTCATGGAACATTTTGATATTGGAGATCCTGACTAGTATTGTCATTTCTCATTTGTCACGGACACTGGAGACGACCTGAAGTGTCCATACCAAATTATATTTTACATCATTGTGTTGCACCTGGAATCTTTCCCCCATGGTCACACTCAGATACCATTATTTAGGCTGGGGTCAGGAGTCTGACTAGTCACAACACGTGACTGTTAGCTGTGTGTATCTAAACAGATACCAGCTTCTGGTGGTGTGTAGCTACTTTTCAGTGATGCTTTAAGTGACTGATGTATTTATTTATTTGTAACCTGCTCTGTGCTCTCCCGTGTCTGAAAGCTGGAATTTAGGAGTAAGAAATTATCAGATAATGTCAGAAGTCAGAGATATTATTTTTTTCCCCCCTTTCTTTGCCTCCTGCCTGCCCCTACCCCATTCCCTGAAACACTTCACCCACTGCATCCACTTCAGATCCAGTTCATGTGACAGCTGAGATGGAAGTTTAAGTCAGAGGCTGAGTGTGTTCAAAATGCACTGAAGAGATGTGATAGGTATTACAGGTATAGGTAAGAGATGAATGTATGCAATAATTACCCATGAGTGAGCAGCTGTCAGGGGACTATAAAGTACAGTCTTTGAACCCTCGATTTGAACAATATCGAGATTGGAAGGACAGAGCTGCAGAACTGCATCTCCATCACAGATTGAGATGTTACCCCAGTGTATTGCTCAGGGGCCCTTCATCTTGGGTTGCTAACCTTTGCTCAGTCTGTGGCCACATTCAACTTTTTAAAATTGCTGATTGGGGCCAAATTCTCCCTCAAGCACCACTCAGCAGGAGCCAGAGTGGCTGCTGGAGAAGGTCCCTCTGGTGCTGAGGAGGAACACTGCCCAGACAGGAATAACTTTTCAGGGAGGAACAGCTGCATAAGACCTGGGAAAAGCATTTTTCCTTCCTGCATGTCATGTGCACAGTGCAGCAGAAGTATTTCCAGACTTGCATGTGCTGTGTCTTTGAATGCAAATGTGGGCTGCTGTAAAAATGCCAGCAGTTCTTCCTGTCTTTTACTAAGAAAAATAAAATTAGGATGGGGATGAAAGCACATCTCAAGAGGAATTGGAAAAGAGGAAGTCAACAATCAGAAAGACCACGGCTTTGGAGATGCTTGCAATTCTTCCTTTATTCTTGCTTTTATACAGGTGCTTTTTGGAGATTGAGTGTTTTAATTTGCAATGTGTCTTTTAAATATTATTCAGTATCTAATTACATGACTGTTGCCTCTAGATAAAAGACCAACAGTGAACTGTATTGTAGTATCTTCTGATGAGAATTCAAATAATTATTTGTGACTAGAGTCTAAATCCTCATCCCTGTACCTGAGAAAATAGAATTCCCAAATTCATTCCTGTCTTTGTGCAGAAGGAGAGGTTCTTCAGGCCCTAAATTGCTTAATGGCAAAAAGTAAGAGTCCCTTCCCTTCCTCTCTGTGAGAAACTCTGTTCCAGGTCATGTATATTTATCTCAAAGCTTAGGAAACTGGTGCTGAAAACCTAAAAGTGCATGATGTGTAGGCTGATTTTTTCCAAATTAAATTGCACAATTTAATGCAATGAATTCTCTTCCATATGTCTTTCACGCTAATGTATTATTCATATTTTTTGCTCAACTCAAGGGTAGTTTTTAATAAAATCGATAAATATATGTATCAGTACATTTAATAAAAGGTATAAATATGAATGAGAAATTCAGTAGACTTGGAAATACCAATTCATTGCTGCTCTAATTAGGGAAAAAAATAACGCAAAGTCTAGAATCTCTTAGTCAAATTGCCTTAAATTCATGTGGTGTAGAAAGTAATAGGGAAAAAAGCTCACAAAACATATAGCCATAAATAAAATGGCAAACTTCTTAGGTCCTTGCTTCCTGATAACATGTCTTGTTGTTGCCTTTTACCAGCACTCATTTTTCACCTGCAGGCTGGAGACATTCATGGAGATGGTGTCAGTAGTGAAATGTGTCTGAATCCCACCAACTCTGTCCCAATGGCTAAGAGCTCTTCCTCTCCCTCCCTTGAGGGGAGTGATCAGTTTATGTATCTCCCAAATGAAGAAAGTCAGAAGCCAGTAAAAAAAGAAGAAAATGCCATTTCAGCTTCTCATCTCTATGGAGCAGATTCATATCTTCCATTCAAGACCCATGGATTTATTAAGGATCGGGGCCAGCTTTATGCTGACAGGAAAAGAAGGTATGGAATTGGCTTGATGCTATGGCCAGAATAAGGATTTTTTTATAACCACCTTTTGTTTAAAAAGGTGAAGCAGAATCTGAATATTATTAGGGTGAAAACTCTGTTTTTCATCACCAATATTTATTGTAGATTATTAAACAGATTATTAAATCTGTTTTCATAAAATAGCCATGAAGACATTTCTAACACATAAAAGTGTCTTCTTAGTAAATGTATTTTGAATGTAAGTGGATAATTTTGTACCTTTATAAAAAGTATGCAAATACTCTTTGCAAAATAAAGCAAAAAGTATCAGGTCTTCACTGTCACTGCCATTGTGGCATTTTTGACAGACAGCAGAATTTCACTATGGTTCTCCTGTTATATTTTCCATTAAGAAAATAGTCAAAAATCTGTTGAAGTCTCTGGGAATCTTTCAAGTCTTTAAATAGGCCTGTAGAAGGACTGTGTTATTCCTGATTGCTTAGGTATTTCTTATCTCAAAAGATTCGTTGCAGAGTCTAGCTGCACTGTTTTCAGACTGTTTTCTTCTCTATTGCTGGCATGCAAGGTTTGCTGCCATTTGTCTGAAGACCCTTCTCCAAATGCCTTCAGAAATGGAATTTTTAAGATGGAACCGCAATTTTGGTCATTAAAAATAGGTTTCTAACAATTAATTTTAAAATTAAACAATTTAACAATGAATTCCTTGATGAAGAGGTTTTACTGCTTCTCCGAATAAATGAGATTCCTTCTTACTCAGAAGGAAATCTGAATCTTGCTTCCACCTTTGAAGGGTATTAGGAGTAGTTGGAGGTAGAGCATCAGACCTATGTAGAAACAGTAAGGAGGAGAAGGGTCAGCCAATTATCATTTAAAGTGGGCAATAACATTTTTCTACCTTAATTTTGACTTTCTTATGCAAAGTCTTATGAAGTCCCACTAGGAGAAATCCTTAACACAGATAATATAATAAATGTCAGACGGAGTTTTTCTTTCACAATCCTTTTTTTGGTGTTTTTGTTTGTGTTTTTGTTTGTTTTCTTGCTAACGGTAGGAATGTCATGTAGAATACTACAATCTTCCTCTAGTAAGAAACATTTTTATCCTGTATATTTTTAGATTGTCCCACCCTTTTTAGGACCTTGATTAGGCACCTGTATGAGAACTTCAGGAGTGTATATAAATTTTCAGAGACGTGTGACTTGCCTTAATATGTCATATGACATATATAAGTGATCCAGATTTTACACATAAAATAGGACTAGTAGTATGTAATTCTATTTTTAAACCAGCTTTTTATGTCTGAAAAGTTCCCTGGAGAAGTTGCCACAGTAAGTCATGGATACTTGTCTGTTGACATGGCTTTTTCTGTTTTAACGTGTAACAGTAACTGATAATGTATTAATATAACTTGTTTCTGAGATGTCATGTGGGTTATTACTCAGAAACATTGCAAAATATTGTCTCCAGAACTGTAATAAGGAAGTAGTTTCAGACAGTAGCGATAGATTTGTGCCTCAAAAAAGTAGTGGTGTGTGAAGGAATTTTTGTGCTATTATCCCTGGTAGGAACTCTGGCTATTTAGAAATACCACACATAATTTAAAGTTTTATGTTGTAAGGCTGGAATGTTATTGCGAGCAGTCAACCATTCCTTCCAGTCACTCTGATGAAGAGACCATGAACTTGCTCTTGCAGGTAACAAGATTCATCCTGGAAAAATATGGTACTGCTGAGCAGCCTGAGTGCTCTCTTGCTCAGGAACCCTTGCCAATAAAATAATCTTTACGTGTTTGACATATTGATTTAGCCAGAGATTTTTCAGTCTGCTTGTTGCTCGCTATGTTTTTAAATGTTTATCTTTAGAACTGGACCTTATAAACTATTTCAAGACCCTCCTTGATCTCTTCTTGGTGTTTTTCTCTTCAATCTTCTGTCATGGAGTCACAGATGTAGATGAAAATATGTCTGCGGGCAGCCATGTGGTATCTTCCAAAGGCACACATGCACATAATACCCATCTACACCCACTCAACTTGATACTGACATCTGAGGTAGTTCTCTCAGTTCCACTTATTGTGCCAGCTCTCCTTTTTTCCTTTGTAGCGAGACACTTTTATGCGTGGAACGCAAACTCTCATTTTTTGGGAGATGCTGAGCATGTGTCTAAAAGTCAAGATCCAGAGGTGTCTGGCTGTGGTGGGAGTGTGCGTGATCGTGGGTGATGCGGATATCTGCAGTGCAGATCCGTGAGGCTGCGTCAGAGGGGTCCTGGAAAGAGGACTGAGAACCTTGGCCAGGTGACTGCAGACCTGAGAGAGGCCTCAGGCCATGGTTTACCTGACACAATCATGGCATTTTGTCACTCTTCAGAGGATTCAGCCGAATCTTTGCTTATTGCACTAAGGTTGAAATGAATTTCTATGAGGAATTCAGGGAAGTTAAAGACTGTTGTCTTCTTCAGTTCAAGTCTTGATAACCTTGAAGTAGACATTGGAAGTGGAGGTGTGCCAGACAGATCCCATGCTCACTACCCTTCCCTCAGCTCTTCAGAGGCCATGGCTTCTAGCAGAGACGGACCGGACTTACCTACCAGTCTGCAGCCCAAGGTATTTGATCCTGTCTTGGTTTGAATTGCTTTCCTTTTAAGTAAATCACTGAAACTATGCGAGAAACATCTGAATGTGAAGGGGAAAGATTAGTTCCCAGTGGGCAGTGCTAGTTTCTCTAGAGACCATGCACATTGAGTTGTGAAGCTGGAACTCCCCAGATGTGGTTGGGCTGGGCAGCAGCCATGGAAAGTACATATCCATCAGAGATTTGCCTCAGCTTTAAAAAACACACCATTTACCAGAAGTGTTTCAAGGGAAGTATTTCAGGTCCAGTGAATAAGCATTTTTTAACCAAAATATATTTAGTGAGAAAATGTTTAACCAGCTCTAGTTATGTGTAAGAGTAAATGCTTTGTAAAGTGTAAAACTGCCTTGCTGCCCATTTTAAAACAATTTCTAAACTCAGGAAAATTCAGTTGGGGTGTCCACTGATCAATGTAAATATCTTTGCTGTGGTTTTCTGAAGTATCCTGTTCTACATTAATTTTCATTAGACCATGGTTCCATTTCTGAGATCTTCAGTCACATACGCAGAATTATTTCTTGTTTGCAGAAATTCTTTTAAATGGTTTTTTAGATGCACTTGTTGCCACTGTAGAATTTTATCTGGCCTTCAGCAAATGATTATATGAAGGGAGAAAAAGAGTTCAGCACAAACATAAATTATGGTAGGGTTAATTTAAAAAACAATAAGGTACACACTTTACAGGAGTTTTAGGAATAGTCTGTATGACGTATGGATGATATCTCAAAAATTAGGGGATTTCCTTTCAAGTCTTACTGTTGAGATATTTGGTGACTGGAAAATGTTTTCAAATACAATACTGATGAAAAAAAGCAAAAAACAACATAAAGAAAAGAGAAAGAGATCAACTCCTTTCTCTGGAAACTCTGACATCAGTAATTACTAAGGCATGGCCAAAGTCTTCATGAAATGTTCTTGAAGTATTAAAGTACTAAGATTAATCCCTTTCTTGGTAAAGGAAGATAGCTTGGTCATCAAAAGTAATGGCCAACAATACTGTATGGATGTCACCTGTTACCAGATTGGAGAAGAATATAAGCTTTATATTCTTAAATATATATATATAAATATATATATAAAATATATATTATATATTCGTATATATAATATAAGTCTCTTAGTCTGATTTGCACCCACCACTTATTTCCTGTAGCAGAATAAAAATTTATCATGGTGGAAATATGACAGACTTCCAAAAAATTCAGATAAAGTTGTCAAAAAATTCAACTTGAAGCCAAGAAAATTATATGAGCTGTTCCTGATTTATTTTGTTTCTGTTGCTGATGCAACCAATTGTGTCATCAAAATGATACAAGGTTTTGTTTGCTGCAATTTCTCATAGGAATGCACAGTGCCTGGGATTCGGTCACGCTCCTATTCCTGCTCCTCACCCAAAGGTTTGGTAGGAAGAACTCGTGTTCCTCAGGACTTTGCAGTTGGGGATTCAAATGGAGGTGAGTTCTCTGGCTTTGCGTTATTCAATACCGGCCTGCTTCAGGCCCACTGCTGGTGGCGGAACAGAGCCCAGCAGCGTGTGTGCTTGGTAGCCTTCAGGTAGCCCTACCATCATCCCTCCATTCTCTCCCATCTACAGCCCTGTCATGCCCTCGTCATGCCAGTGATACAGCCACTGATCTTGAGAGGGCGTACAAACTCGGAGGGCAGTAGCCACCAAAACAAATGCAGACAAGGGCAGTAATCCTCTTTTTAGAAGATCCTTACCCTAGCCTCCTGCTAAAGTGTCTGACAGAGACCAGGAGGAAGCTCAGGATGACACAGAAGAGGCATCAAAGAGGACAGATGGTTCCAGCTTCCCACAGATCCTCGGGAATCTCTGAAACACAGGTGGGAAGCAAAACCCACCCACTTCCTCAAGTGGAGTCAGAGATATCTCTGCAAGAAGCTTGTAATTTTTAATGGCTTGTTTCTGACATGCTGTATTTCCAGACACATAGTTTCATGTTTAGAAGGCAACACATGCTTTTCTCAGTGAGGGTATGGGTTATATTTGAAAATCATTCAAAGTATGAAATACATACACTTTTCATACACCTCACCTCACTTAAAAAACACCCGCAATATGCTCAGGTTTAAAACGTACTACCTGCTTTTTTTTGGAGAGGGTATTACCAGGCTGTAAAGAACAATAAAGAATTTGTACCTGCTGTGTAGATGGTGTGCTCATGAACAGTGGTCCATCCCCCTCCAGGCCCTTAAAATTTCTGAGTCAGTGTCCCAGCTCTGTTTTGCATTTCTGTCTTCATCTCTCATGGATATACGGCATTGTTTTCTTACAGAAGCAACCTGTGGCACAGGTCGTGCCTGACAATTAATTGAAATGCCCTTTTTGTTTTGCTGCTTCTTTGGTAAATACTCTTAACTCTTGCTAACCTGATGTCTACAGTTGTGTGAAGGGATGCTGATTCAACAAAGGGTGTTTAAGCCTGTATCTAAATTCAAAGAAATCACAGTCTGGAGATTTGACTTCTGTATCTAAATTCAAAGAAATCACAGTCTGGAGATTTGACTTTGGCAAGTGTTTATCTTTCTGAACCATACCTGTGGTAGTTTTGCTAAAAATGTCTGCAAAAGGGAGTGGCTTTTAATTTTAAAATGGTAATGTTCTCTGAATTTTTGGCTTATTTTCTCCAAAACAATCCAGCTGAGTTATCTTTTATTTTTGTTTTCAGAGAGTTTGTGAAAAGTATCTCCTTTTCATCTGTGTAGTATCTGAGTCATCTGTGTAGAGGATGGTAGAAAGGGTGAGTCATTTGAGTCCGTGTTGTTAGGAAAAACAAAAGAAATTATTTTTGCTATTCTTAAAAGCAGTCAGTTTGCAGAGACTGGCATTCAGTGATACCCTTCTCTGTTCTGGCAGATCCTGTCAACTGAAAGCTTAGCAGGAAGTGCTCTTTACCTAGAAAAAGCTGTTTCTAGTGTACGTATGTTTTTGCCTTCCTAATTTTCAAATGACATTGCAAACCCTTGATGGTAAGCTTATGGCCTGGTGGAGGTTAGGAGCTTCAAATCAACCTGATGACCTTGCGATCCCAGTGCCCTGTGGCTGTTTGTGTCTTGCAGAGCGGGCGTACAGCCTGGCCGAGCAGTCCCGGGAGCAAAGGTACGGGCGTGTGTCGCGGAGAGCCGGGAGCAGGTCTGTGCAAGAATGACATCTAGGGAGCCAGCTGGGGAAAGAGACCCCCTGTGGGATGTGGGCTTTGAGCAGCTGTGTGGAGGCCCATGGCTTCTGTGAGCTCATGGTTAAACCGAGTACCAAGCTCAACCCAGCTCCCACTGCACACATCCTGCAGCTGGGATTTACTGTGGGATGCACAAAGTAGGGATGGGCTCCTGTCTCCTCCTGGGACTCCTGTCCACTGCGGGAATGTCCAAACCTCTGCAGTGGTTTGATTGGCTTTTGATACCATCTAGGCAAGCTCGTTACACGTTGCACACGCAGAGCGCTCCTTGGCAAGTGTTATTTTCATAAAGGGATAGCAATCTTTTTGGTAATGTGTTAAATCCACAACAAAGCATGCAATTGTAAATGTTAGGTGAAACAAGCACTGTCCAGATTCTGCTAATTGTTAATTAAAGGAATGTTGCCAGTGGAACGAGGAACATTTTTTCACTGGTCTCTATTTTAGGATTCAGGAAGAAGAATGGAATAAATATGCTGTACCCTCAAAAAATGAGTCTGAAAAATATAAAGTGAGTCGGACTTTCAGCTTTCTGATGAACAGGATGACTAGCACAAGGAATAAATGCAAGGTAATTTGGGATTTATATCCATATTGTTATGTATGATTATGTCACTGTAATTAAATGAATTATAGATGGAAGCTAAATTTTCATGTAAAGATAAATTATTTATCACAAAACCACAAAAGTCATAGGAAGATTATTTTCACTTTTCTTTTTTTAAATTTAAAACATATGCAGGTAACCCTGTATTAAAAACCAGCTTTCCTTTGATGTCATTAGCAATTCTGTTTGGGGATTTAGCCAACATTTAAATGGATGAATTATATTTAGGAAATATTTTCTTTGTTTAATAAAATGAAGAGATATGGGCCTGTCTCAAAAAGTAATTGAGTGTGTAAACTTCTACATTAGGGTATAATTATTTGAATTTGCCTTATTTGAAGTTAATGGGACTCCTTGCATAAATAAACACTGCTTAGTGTTAAAGAGTTTAAGATTTGAGTCCTGCAGAGTCAAACAGGCCTACTACAGAAGGTAGATTACAACACTGTGGTTTAATTCTAAGACATCTTAATTTTAGATGAATGGCATCAGTTAGCAGCTTGAAAGACAGGCTTGGCCTACGTGCTCTTTCTGGGTGGCCTTTTGGCGGTTTTGCAGGCTCCCTGGTACATCCTCCTGTGCCCCAGGACATCCTCGTGCGCATGGACGTGAAGGGGTTTGTCTGGGGTGGTGGTCCTTCAGGAGTGTCAGAACCAACCGGGAACATATGTGTCTGTGTGTTCTCCTGAAATATAACTGTCAGTAACTATAAGCTGTATGTATAGTTATGCCAACAAGGGTACTGGAAGAAGATGCAAAATCTATCAAATCTTTTAGCACTCATTAAAAATATGATGTTTCTAATGTCTTCTAAGATCTAAAGACAACTTGTCTAAATTTGCGTAACTGTACCTTTATCTGCAGGGCCATGAGCTGTATACAGCTGTATCCATACATATGTGTAGAGGATGTAGGCATTGATACACATGTGTGCAGTGAATCAACAGCACTTCTTGAATTTTGTTTCCTGTCCCTTCTCTTTCCGTAGATTTTTGAATGAGCTTCTGTCAGTCTTCCCTGATAATGCTTCCAAGCCTAGCTGCCAGTAAAATCAATGCCTGTATGATTTCAGGGCTTCAGCTGTATTGGGTGTAAGAGTGCAGTATTCTGTTGCAACTCTTCCAAGACAGGGATTAAATATTCTAGAATAATTTGGTCATATAAAGGAATATTTTATTGTTTTCAAGATTTAATAGCTTTATCCTATTTATTTATGTATTTGTTTATTTATGTATTTTCCTGCCTCTGTTCTTGGGGATGAAGACAAAACACAAAGATACCAAAGATAAGGAGAAATCAACAAGGCACAGTTTTACATATGGGACTTTCCCAGGATTTATCCCATGTATGGTCTGTGAAAAGGCCCTCCTAGGAAAGGAGTCACTGCAGTGCTCTTGTAAGTAGCTGCTGGCTTTTACATGTAAATTTACAGTGCTCTGACATCCTGGTTCAGTGTGTTGTTTGAAATCTTGTCTACATTTGGATGTTCCTGCTTTATGTAATGAGCTGAGGTTGACAAGGGAGAGGGAGGAAGGACAGCAGGTAACAGATTCAGAAAGAACCTCATTGATCTCCTAGCCCTAGCACTTTATGCAGAAACTTCCTTCTAGTCTGGATTTGTACATCAAAGAATCCTAAGGATTACTTTAGTAAGTGAACCTGAAAAAGGGAATGCTGAAGCATCAGAGTACATTTTCTGCAGACTGGGGACCCTGTTTGGTGCCAGGCTTTGAAACGTACCTTCTCTTTCAGATTGCAGTGTGATTGTGCATAAAAGCTGCAAGGACTGTGCTCCTGTGTGCACCAAGGTAACCTCCTACACTGATCTTACTAGAGCATACTTGCTTTCCAAGGGGCCAGAAACATGATGAAGGAAAACACAAGATAGACAGAGACTGCCCAGACCCTGTGCCTGTGAGCGAAGGGCTGCAAGGGTGTCAGAATGGCTAATGTGAGCAACAGAGCAAACACTGTGCTTGCATAACAGTTTTTAGTAGGGGGTCAAAAATGAGTTTCAAGAAACATTTATATTTTTCACAGAATCACTAGGTTGGAAGACATCAAGACCATCAAGTCCAACACATCCCCTAAGGCCTCAACTAAACCATGGCACTGAGTGCCACATCCAGTCTTTTTTTTAATACATCCAGGGATGGCGATTCCACCATCTCCCTGGCCAGACAATTCCAGCACTTTGTCACTCCTTCCATAAAGATCTTTTTCCTAATATCCTAATATTTTGAAGGGTTGCAAGCTCAGATTTTGAAATGGTGTACCTTGAGGGTTACTGAACAGATTGAAAAGAAAGGCTTCTCCAAACTCAGGAGAGAAAGAACCCTTGTGTACTGGGGGGTATTCCATATATTTGGAATAATGGAGAGCAGAGGTAAAAGAATCTCTGGCAGGTGACTTCATCCACATCCTCACCCTTGGGCCGGCTCACTTCTAGGTAACAATTTGGGCAGATGCTTGTTTCATCCATTCTGGAAAATCTCTGGAGGAGGTGACTCCATATCTGCCTGCCTAGGCAATTGCTCCTAGTGTTCAGCTGCTTCTGAGCAGGGCAAAACCAGCACCAGAGCTGATGGATACTACCTTAACTGTTAAGAAGGAATGCATGCATGGTGAGGTTATCATAACAAAGACATAATCTTGAAAACCTGATGTGTAAGGCTACTGCCCTCAAGAAATAAAATGGGGCTTGAAGAGGTGCCACATTCATGCAGGTCATTTTTCAGATTAGTGGAGCGTGTCGTTCTGGTGTAGCTGGGTTTTGCAACATGGTGGCTTTCAAGGAGATCATGATTCCATACTGGTTCTTTAGTGTAAACAAGCCTTAAACTGTACATAAATCAAGTGTGTTTCGTTTTGTTTATAATTTTCACATCAAGGTCTTGCACTGATTTCTGGGAAACTTTAGACATTATGACTGCTGAACTGACAGCTTTTGTTCTTGGGGATAATGGGTTATTTGCAAGAGGAGAAAAGAGCCCCCAACTCATCTCAGCAAGAGTGAAGTGCAGGAAATGTTCACTGACCCACCTGAAATATATGCCTTAGCAGAGCAAGTTTTGGTACAGATTTTTCACTTTTGCAAAGCCCACTTTGGAAGGGGGAGTGGTTCTGCCTCTGGCACCCATGCTTCAGATAGTGTACTGATACAAATGCTTTGATCTTTTTTGAGTATAAAGCCCTTTTCTTGCAGCCCTTGCAGGCAATACTCATATAGAGAAAGTAGAATGTTGTAACATAATAATGTAATGAATAATTTTGTATTGTAGTACAAATAGTAAGCTACTTTGAATATTATTATCGATCAGTAACTAATAAAATTGGTTATTGGAAGGAATTAGTACCATAATTAAGGACCACTTCCATGTAGCCCTTGTGTGATGGTGTATGTGAATGAGTTACTGACTTGCTGTTAAGTATATTATCAGCTATGTGATTTAAAAAAATTCTTCTTTTTTCAGAAATCCCAGGAGAAATCCCATAATAAAAACAAGCTCCAAGTTGGTGTAACAAGTAAGTTAGGTATAAACCTAGCATTTCTAAGGTAGGCCTTGATTAAAAATCATGGGACTGACAGCATGAACTTTCTCATGTGATTTCTCTTTTTAATTTTCGTTTCAGGATCTGTAAGAAAGGGTGTGTGTCTCTAATATAATGGAATTTTTTGAGAGATCACTGTTGAATAAACTCATCCTCTACTAAAATGAGTGTGAATTTACAATATTTTCAGTGAAAAAAAAAAAAGTAGTCAGTTCTTCTATGTCATTTCTCTTGTGCACAAGAATTTACACACCTACAGAGGACGTATGATTTGAGATTATTTTCTTATCAAATGATAGCCACTCTGGTGCTATTCTGCATTGCCTACAGGCTTATTTCATAAATAAAAAATTATTATTTATTATTATAATATAATATTATTTATTATTATAATATAATTTATAATATTATTATGCATTATAATGCAATATATTAGAATAATTAATATGGTAATTAATATTATAATATTTATTAAAATATTATTATCTGTGAGAGAATCTTGTGCCAAGGTCATGTACTGTGGCAAGTGGACATCCTTGATGCTTGGTGTAGGTCAGTATGAGCACCAGATACCATTTCTCGGTGTCAGTGTGCTGTTGATGACATACTCTGTCAAACAAACTCACTGTTTGTCAAAACGCTGTGTTGTGCTTTGCCTCACAGATTCCCTGCCTGGAGACATTTCACAGATGGTGCTATGCCCAGTGCATCCTTCTTTTTCTGTGCCTACTGGTCTATCTTCTGGAAAGAGAGATGCCTTACCACCCTACCTCTTGTCCAAAAGTGTCCCCAGTGCTGGTTTGGAAAGGTAGAAAGCCAATAGGCTATGCTAAATACATCCTTCAGCATTTCTAGGAAAATTTAAACCATTAAATAAATGCGGGTTTTTTTTTATTTTTTTTTATTTCTGCTGTAGAAGAGTGACACAATTTTCTGAACAAGACCCTGAGACTGGCAGCTGGAAGTCCAAGTCACAGTCTGAAGAGATGTTACAAGCATTACAGACCTTTTCTTCAATGGATGCTTTTATGATGGAAGGTGAGAATATTGCACAGATGTTGCATCTTATAGTTGGTATTGGAAAGTGAGAGCCAGATAACCTCCTTAGCTGATTTTGGAAGATACTTCATCTTCTCACAGAATAGTACTCGTTTTTAAAAATTACAATCATATCCCTCATTAAAATGATGAAATCAAACACATTATTCTTAAAAGAGATTTTTTTCTTTCTTCCTTGTAACTATCTATTCTATAACTTTTCAGAATATTTTAGTATGTCGTTACCACTTTAAAGTAACCAGGATAAATGCACTTTGTATCCTTGCAGAAACAGAACAGTAATCCACTTTTCTTTTACACTCATCTGGTTGACTCTGTTGACAGTGTCCACTGCAAACTGTAAACCTGCAACACTTGTATTCCTCAGCAGCCCAAATTCTGAACTCCTGCTGGTGAGCTGTGTGTTTACAATAGCTACATGGCCTTATGAAGCAAATAGAAATAGATTTTTTTCTGTAGCTAGGTGTGAGACTGAATTTGAAAGCTGAAGGGTATTCACTCACATAGAATGCTGCACATACCACTCACTGGTCATCTGATTTTTGAAATGTTGAATATTATTTTTAGATTTTCAAAGATTTCTTCAAGCAAAGAGTTACAAAAGGATTTAATCTGAGGAAAGAGGAGTGATTTTTTCCTATTCTCCTCCCCTTCTGTCACAAAAACATCTCAACACTTTGGTAATACTATTGACATCTGGCAACCTTCACAGTAGTAGTAAAGACAGTGCCAGCTTTCTTCCAGACAGTGCCAGACTTCTTTGCAGAACTCTTGCCTGTAGTTCATCTCTGTGATGTGCTCCCCTTCCTATATGAATAGAGCTGCATGTGCCAAGGGACTTCCCTTGCTCTTTATATGTGTTGTGTTAAAGAAATATAAATTTTGTCATAGATGATGTGGATTTGTCTCAGTGGACTGATCTCTGCACAGATGCAGAAGAGTTTGAGGCAGACTCCTGGAGGCTTGTTGTGGATCCGATGTTCTGTAGCAAGCAAGAAAAGGATGTCATCAAGCGGCAGGATGTCATATTTGGTCAGTATTTCAAAGCTGTGTGTAGATTTAAACACAATTTGGTGCATCAAATATAGAGGGAACCTTCATGCTTTATATCCAGAAAATGGAATGCTTCAACTCCAAACAACAAGAAGATTCAAAGAACATTTTTATGACAAGTTACAATGTCTCCTAGAGCTAAGGAAATGGATAGCAGCAGCTACCAGAGACATGCCTAGCCTGTTCACAGAATGGTTGAAATTGGAAGGGGCTTCATCCAATCCCCAGCTCAAGCAATTACAACCACAGCTTGTTCAGTGGAATACAGGGAGAGTTGTGTCAGAGCCAAATAAATTAAGTATTCTTATTGACATAATCTATTAGGTTTGAGCTTCATACAGAAAAAGGAATTATGACTGCATATTTGATAGACTAAAGTCCATCTTAGAAGGTGTGCAAAATATTCAGGGGATTACTACGCTATGCTCTTTTCTTTTATACCGCAGAGCTGATGCAAACAGAAGTACATCACATCCATACCCTGTTCATTATGTCTGAAATATTCAGGAAAGGGATGAAGGAAGAACTGCAGCTTGACCGCAGCATGGTGGACAGACTATTCCCCTGCTTAGATGAGCTACTGGAAATGCACAGGCAATTCTTCTGCAGAATGAAGGACAGACGGCAAGAATCATATGAGGCAGGGAGTGAGCGTAATTTTGTCATCAGCAGAATTGGAGACATCCTTGTGCAGCAGGTAGAAGCATCAGTTCTGGTAATCCTTTGAGTGCTCAGGGTTCCAAATTTAAACATTTTTTTTTTTTACTCTAAAACTTCTGTGGGCATAAAGATAATTATGGTTGCCTCAAAAAGATTCAAAACCTGTCCTCCCTCCCCTGATTATTTCAGGATGAAATAGCAATGTGAAAAAATATTGTTATTGTCAGGTAACTGTGATGAACTCGGGGTAGACTTCTCTCTAGGCAGTATGAGCTACAAGGAAAGCAATGAACTTGGCCATGTTTGCAGTAAAAGGCTACTGGCATGCTATGGACTGCAAAAAATGGAAGCAATGGATTCACTTTTTTATCAGCTGAGTAGAGATGTGAGGAACTGTGACAATGGAAAAGAAACTACCCATTAATTTCTTGTTGTGATCTGGCCTGTTACATCCCAGGATACTGCTCACTGGGGAAGGGGTTGTTGCAAGGTGTTTCCTGTGGCTGAGGAATAGCTAACTGATGTCTTGGCATTCATAATTCAGTTCCTTGTGAAAGGGAGATGTAGCCTTTCATCTTTGGTCAGTCTGTTTTCACTCCACTGCAATAAAGAGCTGAGCTGTTACCTTGTCTAGAAGCAATGTGAAGATCAGACAAAAGTAAACGAGCCTCAGAGGGTTGTGTTTGCAAAGAGGTGAAGGAAATGCTATTATAATGTTCTAGCAGTTACTGGCAAGACTACAGTGGATGTTGCTTGTGCTCTCTACAGCCTATGTTCCTCTTCCTGCTCCTAAAAACAACTAGCCTATTTTCATTCTGTAGTAACAGACCTTGTTAGTGAAATCCAGAGAACTTGATAAACCAGTAATATGAAAGCTCCCTACTTGTACAAAATCCACTGGTTGAAGGTATACACCTTCCTATCAGATAGAATGTTGAGCACAACTCACTTATTAATTTCTTCAGTTTTCAGAGGAAAATGCAACTAAAATGGAGAAAATATACGGAGAGTTTTGTAGCCATCAGAAAGAAGCTGTTAATCTCTTCAAAGAGCTGCAACAAAACAAGAAGTTCCAGAATTTTATTAAAGTAAGTGAATGTGGAATCATGAGCACTATTGACAAAATGCTCAGGAAAAAGGTACATAGTGATGACTTAGATTTAGGGTTGGAATTATATTCGGTAACTCACTTTTAATAGCTAATAAAAATGGCAAAAGTTTTTCCTTCTGAACTAGTGAGCTGATAAATCACAGCTTTGTTTCAAATTTTAGAATGCTTTGGCATCCAGTGTGTATTACACACATGTTCCCATTACAATACGCCTCATCCCTCAGCAGAGCAACTGCTCCTTGGGGATGGTTCAGATTACCCAGCATTTGTTTTAACTTATTCTAATGCTTTTAGATCATATTTCTTATTAGTCAATTGGTGGTTTAATATGCATTTACTACTTAAGGTATATATATATGTATCTGTGCAGCTGAGAAATAATAACCTATTGGCACGACGCCGAGGAATCCCTGAATGCATTTTGCTCGTCACCCAGCGGATCACCAAATACCCTGTTCTGGTTGAAAGGATATTGCAATACTCAAAAGGTGAATAAAAGCTGAAGTGTTGCTTCATGTCTGAAATCCTAGCACGTTTCTAACGTAAGGAATTTGCACAGCTACAGTATCACAAAAGATTAAATTCACTGCTCTGTTGAGATACAACCAGAGCAATGTGAATACCTACTGTTCAGGCAGTTGTCACCTAAACAGGGCTGTCTGGTCTATATAGGCCTTGTCAAGGCTGGGTTGTGAAGATTTCTGATATTCCACCCAGATAGGCCATAGAAGTCCAGAAGAGCATACTTGTTTTAGGAAAAGACCTTGACTAAAGTATGTGAACTAGCTCGGATACACACCTGTACCTTCGGAATTAATTCTGGAGGAGTCTTTTCTAAGTAGGGATAGGCAAATATTTTGTAAATTACTCCGTTTTTTCAGGCAAAGCTTGAAAGCCCTCTCTGGAACTTAGTAGAAAATCTTACAATTACTATTAACTTACAGATATTGCCCCCCAAACAGGCAGTAAATGAGCACTGTAGAAAGTTGCATATGTAATGCAAATCCTTTCTACTTGCAGTCCTGTTTCAAGGGTTTTTTTGCTCAGCCAGAAAAATAATATGCTATATGATTTACTTAGCCTCAATTTTTTTTTAAGTGCTTGCACTTCATAAATATGTCAGAAACTATTCAATGTGTTGTTTTGGCTAATGAATAAATCTGAGGCACAGGTCATCTTTTAATAGATGAGTCAAACAAAGGTATATACCTCTAATAATTCTAGTAAGATGGTTGCAAGGTTCAACTTAAATTAACAAGTTTATCAATTTAAGCTTCACATCTTGCTGATTGTTTCCAGAAAGGAAGGATTTATATCTTCTCTTGAATATGCTGACTAGTGTCATGTTGTTTATTTTTCATTTCATACAGAAGGAACAGAAGAGCATATAGACCTGTGCACAGCCCTTCATCTAATTAAGGATGTAATAGCAGCAGTAGATTTGAAAGTGAATGAGTATGAGAAAAAGCAAAAGCTGCTGAAAATTCTCAGTAGAACTGAAAACAAAACATATACAAAGCTGAAAAATGGCCACATTTTTAGGAAGCAAGACTTGATGAGGAAAGAGAGGATACTTCTTCATGAAGGTTTAGTGTATTGGAAGACAGCCACTGGTCGGTTCAAAGGTATTTCATCTGAGCAGTAAAGTCCTTTAAGTCTTATGCAAATAACATTCAAAGACTAGTTAAAGAATAAAAATACTTTCTTGTGCTATGTTGCAATTAAGAATGTCTGAGGTAATGGTACTGCAAATGTCCCACTAATTTCTGGATGGTCAGTTCCAGAAGTTGCCATGGTTTGTGAGTAATCTGTGCAGGAGCACAAGTTCGCATACAATGCCATCTGCATTTCTTCTTCCAGTCCCCTCCTTCTAGTTTTTTGTTTTCAATTTTGTTTTGTAATACAGTGTTTTCACTTGTACATTTTAATTGCTCACATTATTTGCCATTGAAAATACCTCATTAACAACTCAGTGGTAATGAGACATCCATAGTAGAAAAGAAATTCTGAGGCCACATTTGACTGGAGCACAATTTTTACATGCAAGCTCAGATTTTCATTTTTGCTGCTGATCATGTTGGGGACTGGGCTTTTTCCGAGTGTACTAGTACTTGCTGTACAACTTTATAAAGCTGTCTGATGATCCTTATTCTAGAAATGCTTTTACCAGTGTAATACTGTGCTGTGAGTGTATTTTACAGCATGGACAAAGCAAGGTTATGTGAGGTAGTCTTTGCCAGGTGAATGGCTTAAGAAAGCTGTACTGCCATTGGTGCAAGGATTTGTTCTTTCCCTGGGCCTGTGCTCCAACATGGTGCACTTTCCTGGGAGATACAAAGAAGGGATGTGCAAGTGCTTCATGCAGACTGTGGGCTAATTCAGACATTTCCTGTTTAGTTTACTGTAGGATTCTAGGAGATATTCCCAGGGCTTCTCCCTTTATAAAGATAAAATAAGAATTTAATACTGATTGCAGTTTTAATTAAAAGCCATTATTTTTCTTTTCTCATTTTAAGACATCTTAGCTCTGCTTCTAACAGATGTACTACTGTTCTTACAAGAAAAGGATCAAAAATACATCTTTGCTGCTGTTGTGAGTATATTATCAGATATTTAAACACACATTGCACATTTATTTGTATATTTCTCAAAAATTAGGTCCTTATCCAGCACATTCCCACATAACTTTTTCTTTTCTAAAGTTCTGGTAGTGTGTTCAGAACTGTAGTATGTCAGTATATAGAAAATTAAGTTTGTTTTCAAAAATAAATATTTTTTTTATGGAGAAGGATGAAAATAACAGAATTATCTCTTTAATGTTGTACTTTACATGGCTGTGAAGATGGGAAGTAATGCAGACTCTTTCAGTTGTCTAATACAAATTTTAATTTTTTGTTACATAAAACAAACAGAAGAGCAATTGTTACTGAAAATGTAGTAGTAAACACATATAAAAGATATGAATGAAGTTCCTGAACTATATAAATATAAATATTATATGAATATTGTGTCTCAGTATCATTGAGCCTCTGAGATTTTCTTTTCAGCACATATCTAGTGCTTAATTTGTTCATTGACAGTACAACACATTTTAAAGAATAGTTTAAAATGTCTGATTACTCAAAACTTTCAGTAGTCTGACTATACCAGGACTAGTATAACTATCAGTGTTAATTCAGTGAATTGAAAAATTGTGTTCCTTCTAGACTGTGATGTTTTATAAGAAAGTAATTTGTTATGCATGTGCTTTGACTATTTCCTCCAGGACCAGAAACCTTCAGTCATCTCCCTTCAGAAGCTCATAGTAAGAGAGGTAGCCAATGAAGAAAGGGGCATGTTTCTGATTAGTGCTTCAGCTGCAGGGCCTGAGATGTATGAGATCCATACCAGCTCCAAAGAAGAACGTAACAACTGGATGAGGCATATTCAAGAGGCAGTGGAAAGGTAGAGAAAAAGGGATTTGGTTTTCATGCTGGTAGTCCAAAGGAGATGGGAAGTTGGTTGGATATTCATGGCAGCATGTTCTTTGTTCTGCATAGCACTGGGTCCATCTGTGAGTTTGGTTTTCCTCTGAGCTCAAGGTGCCAAAGCCTCTTCATCACTCCTGCCACACTTCCCATATTCCTGTTGGTTTCCCACTGAATCAGCAGACCAGTTCTGTTCCTCATTAGACATCCTTACACAGCCATTGTACCAGTCTTCCCTCACCTTTGCCTTTGGCACTGGCTGCCTTCCAGAGTCCATACCATCATTTTGAGGAAATCACAAATCATGCCTGTCATCTTGGTGGCAGCTCATTAAGAATGGTGGGGAAAACATTGCTACTGATGGGACCCAAGCTTATGCTTGAGACAGCAGACCTGTGTGTATGCCCCAGCCACTCTCGTGCTGCACAGTGCATCCTTACCAGAGTAAAAAGGCCTGCTTGACGCCCATTTACTGCTTCTTAAAGAGGCAGACAAATGGCATGCTTCTGGATTGTTGCAAAAGGTGCTGGTGTTGTATTCTGTTTATTGTGAATATGACATTGTATTGAAGATGAATAGATGATGTGCAGATTTTGCTTTATCCACCGTTGTCTTTCATCTTTGAAGTTGTCCAGAAGAAGAAGAAGAAGAAGTAAAAATGATTGAATCTGATGAAGACAGACGTATTGCTGAGGCCAAGGCATACAGAATTCAGAAATATCAAGGTGTGGTACCTTTCCTGTTGCTCTGAGAGTTCCAGCATCCTGAGAATTCAGGATGAATTAGTGGCTGTGCACCCATTCTGGCTGGTGCGTTCAAAGTGGCTCAGCAGGCAGAGTCACAGCAGAGACAGATGGGGCTGTCTGATGGTGTAATGTGAAAGAGAAGCATGTTTTTTTCCAAACACTTTAGTACTTTAGTGTTTTTGCTACATTACTATAACCAAAAAAGAAAAATAAAAATGGGTGTTTTCAAAACAAACACTGAATTTCACAGGTTATCATCAGGACCAGGTAGTTCTGGTTTGTGAAAATGCCTTGAATCTTCAAAGTTGTGTGGCTCTATCCTTGTTTATGGCACTTTGTCTTTTGCTGCTGTCATTTTTATCTGCAAATATAGATAATAAGGATAAATTCTATTTCCTCTCTGCCCCTACACCTAACTCCCACATCTTTATACTGCTGTGACAAGAGAAACTGCAGCAACATCTGTCCTATTGAAAGCCACAGGGATGATTATCCTCTGCTGAAAGTAGGTGTTTGATGTTGAAGCCCTGAATTGTTAGCACACATGAGCCAACTGCTTTTCCAGGAAATGGAACTGATGTGTTATTGTGAGTGCAGCAGGAGTAATAAGGGCCAGAGAGGGCAGCCAAAGCCACCTCATCAGGGTAGGGCTTTGGTCTAGGCTCTGCCAATATGTGTGTGAGCTTTCATTTGGACAGACTGTGGGATGAACTTAGACAAATTTAGGTCCTGGCCACTTAAACTTAACTTGAATTAGCACTTTCTACATGGCATAAATATTAGAAAGATGAATGGGGAACGTGCTCTCCCTGCAGCATAAAAAATGATAATACATTTTTTATTTTTACACTGTTCAATTTTGGTTGACAGAATCACTGAATAACCAGGACCAGCAAATCTGTAATTATTTAGAAGAAAAGTTGCGTATCTATGCAGAACTGGGAGATTTGTGTGGGTTTGAAGACGTCCATGTAGAACCTCACCTACTTATCAAACCCGATTCTGGAGAAACTCCACAGGCTGCCTCACTGCTGGCAGCAGCACTCAGAGAAGGTGAGTTTGCATGGGAAGAGTGGGTTGGTGGCTCTGCACATGGGCAGATGTTTTAAGTAACCAAGTGCAGCCATGTTGCCTTGTGTTGCAACTGTCAAGTCTCAAGAAGTGGCAGTGTCAAAAACTGGCAAAGGGCATAGAAGAAAAATCAGTCACGTTTATTTTTGTTAGATAAAGGAGATGGTACCTGCCAGATTGTAAAATAATGAATATGTTAAGGGCATAGCATTAAATATATGCTGGCAGGGGCATGGTGCTAGGTTGTTAGCTGTCCTTACAGTACAGCTCTGTGAAGCACAGCAGGAGTTGCAGTATGATATTGCACCTGGTCCCCAACCTTCACCTACCTTGGATGATTTTGGTGTCAGATCAGAATCCTGTATGATCACATACGGAACAAATGTAATTTCTACTCAGAAACACCTGCCAGAATTGATGTAGGATCTCTGTATTTTCTGCCTGCTGTAACAGAGGGAGTTGGTAGATGGCTGCACCATCTACAGTGTTGTCCTACCAAAGAAGGAAGGGAATGGTATTTGTAGATACCTTGCCTAGCCGGAAACTCAACTAAACTTCTTCTAAACTCAGTGGAAAAGAGCCCTGGTAAACTGAGTCCTGATTTTCATGTCAATTAAATTGAGAACTGTGTGCTACCAACAACATTTCAACCTATAAAGCAGTGGAGCTTGGTCTTCATCATCATGTTAAAGTCAAAGAGCACTTTATTGATAAAATTGATTAAACTTTTGTAGGGCAGTGTAAGCTGGTGATGGAACAAAAAATACTTAAAATGGCAGCCTAAATTTATCACACACCTCATTCTGCCCATTTCTTTATTTTTCACTTTCTCTCAAGCTGTTGTTGATGTCGATGATATCTTGGATTTCAGGACTCTACAACACTTTGTTTACATTGTAGACAATTTGTGGGGATCATTTTCCAAGATGGAAATACTAAGTCCTTGAGCTAATAGAAGAATTAGGGAATAAAGCATTGCTCAGATGTAGAAGATTGTAGAGAAGGACAGAATTACATAGTGCTTAAGCAAATTAGATATACACAAATCCATGAGATGAGATGGGATAAATCCAAGGCTGCTCAGCAAGCTGGCCAATGTCACTGTGAGGCTGTTTCTGTCAGCTTTGGAAGTCGCAGTGATCAGGAGAGGTAACCTGATGACATGAAGAAAGTAAGACTTGCACTCCAAGAGGGAATACATACAGTACTGAAAAACAGTCAGTCTCACCAGCATCTCTGAGAATCCTCCTGGAAGACATTTCTAGGAACCTGAAAGACAGGAAGATGATTTGGAGCAGCTGTCACAGATTAATTAGGTCAAGTTGTATCTGAATAACCTGACAGGTTTTAAGGTGAGGGAAGAGTTCACATTGGTTACCTTGTTAACCACTCTTTCAGACTTTCCACACTGTTTGCACTGGCTGTTGTGTTCTTATGTAATGTTACATCTAATTGATGTAAACTTCTTAACTGGGTGGAAGACAGGCTGGACTGCTGGGCTGAGCAGGTCAGTCATATGACATCCAGTTGGTATCATGTTATTAGGGGATTCTCTTAGAGGTGTATCCTGAGACCACTAGTGTTCAACATTTTTATCAATGCAGTTAACCTTGGGATCAAGTACACTCTTAGCAAGCTCATAGCTGTCATTGAATGAGGTGGAGCATTCAGTGAGCTGGAGAGACCTCTGTAAATAGGGAAAATGGGCTAAGAGGAACTCCTAGCTATTTGACAGAGAAATGCATCTCAGAAGATGTAATCCCATGTGTTGGTACAGGCTGGACGCTGATTAGGTAGAAAACACCTTTGTGGAAGTGGACCTGGGAGTCCTACTTGACAGCAGGTTGACCATGAGGCAGCTGTTCCCCTTGTGGCAAAGATGGCCAACTGCTTCTTGGGCTGCTGCAGTAGGAGGAGAGTTGCCAGCAAGTTGAGGGAGGTGATTCTTCCTCTACTTAACCTTGGTGAGTCCTATCTGGACTGCTATGACAAATGCTGCACTTCTCCTAGGCAAGAGAGGCATTGACAAAGTAGAGGAAATCCAGTGAAAGGCATCAGGCTGGAGGACACGACCTCTGAAGAGAAGCTGAGCTAGCTGGCTTGGTGGGATCTCATTACTGTCCACAAGAGCTTAATGGGAGGATATAGAGAAGCCAGATTTCTTGCAGAGGGACATGACAATAAAAGAACACATGGGCAAGAGACAATAGTCCTGTGGTGAAATGCAGGCAATTCCAACTAACTGAAATGAAAAATTAAATATCATGGGAGTGTTGAAAAAGTGGAACAGGTTTCTCAGGGACACTTTGAAGTTTCCATCTTCAGAGGCTTTAAAGGCTTGTGTGTGCAAAGCTCTGAGCAGCACAATTTAGACTGACCAGGTTTGAGTGAAGTATAGGACTAGGTGACCTCTGAAAGACTCTTAAAAGCCAAATTATTCCATGGTCCATCAATTCAATGGCATTGATTTATGCACTAAGGAACTATTTAAGTGGCATCTGTAACTATGTGTGTTTTCCTCTAGTTGAAAGTCTCTATGTGGCCATAACAACATCACAAGTGAGCGAAACAGACAGATCACCAGAGGAAAGTACTGAGGATTTAAGTGTGAAGTATAGGTTCTCTGCCAATGAAATAATAGAATCTGTTCCGGGTGGTGAGTAAAATTTGATGCTTTTACATCTTTAGAGTGCTGAAATAATCGATACCGAATTGGTTTTTTTGGAAAGCCTCCATGGTCAAAATCAGTAGAAAATAATGTAATAAAAGTTGTCTTTGGGCACATGCTCAGGTAGTGTAAATTTTTTTATAACTTTGTTAACGCCTTTGTTAGGAGGCTTGAAAACTACGATTGATATTCCAATAATTTCAGCTGCAAAGGGTAGCAATAATTTCTCACAACAGTATTGCTAATAAAGTCGTGTAAAATACATTGCTACAGAGCATTTTTAGTGTTGTGGTTACACTTATCTCCAGCCTTTTGTAAATGAAATAGTGTAAGGTAGAAGAACTGGATTCTGCCACGTGTGCCATCCTGGCTTGCAAATTTGTTTTTCCCCAGCCTAGGATCCATTATGTAACTACAAACTATAAAAATCACTTTTTCATTTTTCTGAGTAATGGTAAAAAAGCATGCTCATTGTTTTTCTAGTCAGGATATGCTTTGATACCTTCTTTTTTTTCATTTTCTTGGGGCTTTGTTTGTTAGATGGAGAAAGAAAAGAAATTGAAGAACCAACAGAAATCGATCTCAGTGTTGAGAAGGAAATGGCATGTGCCAATCTTGAGGATAAGGTATTGTAACTAGTTTTTCTTCCTGCATTGCACACAGCAGTCTGGGCACTGTGTATGTACATGCTATTCAAATTTTTATGGGGAATTTCACTCAAATCTATATAATTCAATCTAATAGAGGTAACTACATTTAAGAATAAAATTTTAAAAAACAGTCATAAACAATCCAAGTGCAGAATGATTTTCCTGCAAGGCTCAAGATCAGTGAGTTACAATAACAGGTAATAACAGTTTGTTCTAAATCCATTTGTATGGGCCTCTTATGAGGCTGGGTCTCTACTGTCATCATTCAATAGATGCATATCTATGGAGCTGACAATAGTATTCCCTCCACTCCCTCCTCCTGTTGACAGGATGAAAGTCTCCTGCAGTGATAGAGTCCTCAGCTAATGCAAGGAAGAGTTGTGCATTGGAAGAACTTTGTCCTAAGAACAAGCACATAAGATATGATGGATGTTTTTACACTGGCTTGCTTCAAAATTTTGAATCAAAACAAAATGAGAGAGAATATTCTATTAGAGAAGAGAAGAGAAAGTTCCCATTTTGGATAGTCCTAGGGCTGATAAGGAAATCTGGAGAGAAAAGCAGAACCAAAAATTAGCTCTGGACAAAACTAGGAGAGACAAATTTTATGTAGAAACAGAGTGTTGGAGTAAGCAACATGAATTACTGTGTGGAAATAAAGTGAACCATAAATAGTGTAGCTCTTAGGTGGAGAATAAGAATCACAAAAGGAATAAAGGGGAGATAAGAATCACAAAAGGAATAAAGGGGAGAAACAAGAATAAAAATTGTTTGAAAACAAAAGTCCCAGTGAGGAGGCAGAGAAGTTGAAGATGAATAGAACCTGGGGAGGGTAGAGGGGCTCAGACATAGCCCATTAAAAATGGCAGTAGTTCCACGTGGAAATTTTGCCTTTGGGCTTACAGAGAAGGTAGAGCCGGGTTTTTCTCAGAGGTGCACAGCAAAAGGATGAGTGTCCAAGATTACAAGTTGCAGTAAGGAAAATTCTGTGTGTATACAAGGAAAAAAAATTCAATGCAAGGATGAGCAACCAAAAGGGTTGTGGGGATCTCTACCCTTGGAGATTTCCTGGATTTGAGTGGAGAAGGCCTTTGGCAAACTCCTCTAACTTTCCAACCTAAGTCATTATCCTATTATTTATGGCCTAATTTTTGGGTAAGGCATGTATCACATCTTCTGATACCATGTCAGAATCAAACTTACCAGGAGGTGGCAGAATGAGTAAAGAAAAGAGGAACAGCTAGCGCTTTCCAGGGAGGTGGATGTGCAGTCCCAGGGCTGTGGGTGCCAGCCCTTGACTCAGCCCAACTAGCTTGAGAAAACAGGAGCTGGACAGGGGGGCAAGAGCTCCCAGCTTGGAGGTTAGGTGCTGACTAGAAACTGGAAGGAAAAGCATTGTCCCTGCAATGTGAGGGGGCCTCAGTGGGAAGCTGTGAGAAGTGATCCCCATCTTGTCTCCCCTGCTCCTGTCTTGTAAGTGTATCTCTGTGGGCACTATCCAAAGCACAGTGCAGCCTGCCCTGGAATCTGACCATCCTCATCTCTCTGCACCAAGGTGATCAGGAACAGTAGCAGAGAGGTGGTGGTGGCCTTCAGCACAGTTGAACACCTGAAATTACTACTTCATTCCTGGCTGGACTAGCAGGGTATGTGCCAGCTCAGCTAAACTTGCCTCAGCCTCATGTCGTAGCACTCAAGTGGTGCTGCAGTGAGGGGACCGTGGGCACTGGGACTGGCCACTTGCAAGTTCTTGGTCAAGCCAATGCCAGATAAACCTTACCCCTGTGCACATCTGTTTTCAAATTAGAAAGGGCTTAAAAACCTGAAAGAAATGCTGCTCTTGTTCAGTGCGCATGGTCTCCTTTGTACACACTTCCTCACCCTTCCAGCATTACCTTCTTTCTCTCCCTCTTTGCCCTGTGCTGCCTCCTTACCCACTGCTCATCATTCAGCTAAGGAAAAGCAAAGCTATCTTGAGTCCATCCTTGTGCTGCACAGAGACATCCCTGCAAAATCCTCTCCTTTCATAGCAGAGCTGAGCTTTTCTATGGCTTGTGGATGCAGTGAGGAGGAGGAGGTGAAGATGTGGAGGGGGAATGGAAGGAAATACTGAAGAGAGATAATGAGCACATGAGCAGTGGAGGAAATGATGCAGCTGGTACTCCCTTTGCCCCATGGGTGTCTGTGTTGGGTTGTGTTTAGGGGGCTGGTCTTTCTCATTTTCATTTTCAGTTATTACATCTAAATGTAGCAGATGCTTTGCTCTCTGTGGTGGAAAATGAGACTCAGTAGAGAACTTAAGAGAATCAGAGAGAAAACAAATATTCCCCAAACTCTCCTCTGCTTCTTTGGGAAAAAAAAAAAAAAAAAAAAAAGGAGAAAAATCATACAGGAAGTCTTTTCAGTATAGTCTCAGAAGGGATTGTATTTGAAACAGTCCCCCATCATTTCATCTTATCTTTCTCAGAGGAGCTATTCTTCATGCTGAAGAGATTATGGGTAGCTTCACACCATAAATTTAAAAAACTTTTTAGGAAAAGGGAGCAAGATGGAAAGTGTGAAGCAGCTGTGCCTTGCTGCAGAGGATAGTAGTGACCATGTTGGTGCCTTTTGTAGAGCGTACTGGGCACAGCATCTCCCAGGGCACCTAAGGCATTTTTTTGATCCACCACCATGACTTCTTGTTAGTTTCTTGGTACTTTATTATCTCTTTTTTTGAAGAGTCTTATGCTGTTCCAGTCTACTGTAAGTAATCAAACCCCACTGTGCTGTATATACAGAAGTCTGGTTACTGTGTTTCAAAAGTGTCAAGCAAACAAAGAATGAATTGAAATGTCTTTTTTATGTATCATTACTCACTAGGGATTAAAATTGTGGATGAAATAATTTTATTTGTACAGTTGTGTTCAGAATCTCTAATTCTGAATTTCCATGGAAACTCCATTATTGATGAATTAGTCTTCATAGATTGTTGTTTCTGTCTTTTTTCATATGCCCATGTAAAGTGTTGTCTCAGTACACGTTTCCTAGCCATATGTCACACTAGTTTTAAAAAAAAATTGCCTAGATGATACAATTTTAAAATTTAAAACAGCTTTTTAAAGCTACTTGTGTTTATTTTAGGGAGGAAGCATGCATTTTTCAGGATCTACAGGGACAGAGGTGAGTAAATTTAAACCTCAGACAGAATTTAATAACTATTTCATTGACAGTGGTCAAACCTTTGAAATTTCTTCTCTTTTATTTTCTAGATTGTACAAGCGATCCAGAACTTAACCCGTCTCTTATACAGCATGCAGGTGACTACTCCACTACTGACTTCATAGAGTAATTGATTTGTCCTAATAATTTACTTCTAAAGATTTGTTTCCATGTTGTCCTACTTTTAGACATTACGTTAATGATACTGATCTCTACTGAATGTTGCATAAATTGCCACAGAATATAGTTTTATCCTACATCAGCGGTAGGATTCTTTCAAGAACTGAGTAATACTAACTTGCTTAGAGATCAGTCCCTCCTCCCAAAAGAGGATGTCTGTACAGCCCAAAAACCTAGCAGGAAAGAAAAACAATGGCTCCACTTGGACTGATGTCATTCCACATACAGATTTCTGAAATCATAGTTCAAAAAACTGAAAAAAAAATTGTATTTTGATTAGACTGTACTCCTGGATTGTAGTAAGCAGTAACTTTGCCAGGTAGCTCAGGTAGCAAACTCAGACCATTTTAGATGCTTAAATCTCACTTTGTATATTCTGTAGTGTCTTAGTATGAAGTGTTCATTTCTTTTATGCTAAGTTTGTATGTCTTAGCTTACTTCTTCTTACTTCATACTTCTCCTTATTTAGCTGCAGATTTATAATTCTATTTTTAAATGTTTCATTTGAGTATACTTGATTTTTGACCTTAGCATACTTCATAATAATCCTAGAAACCCTGGGCTTAGAAGTTAAGTGCATTGAAGCAGTGCAAAAGCAAAACAAAAATCCTGTAATTCTGGCAAAATTTTTTGAGTAATTGAAAAACAAATACGGAGAGTAAAATAAGGTTTAGGATCATGCCTTAATGGCTCAGACCATGAATGGGCAGTCAGGTGCCGAGAAACGAGCAGAGGATCTTGTCCTGTTTACAAATCACTGGAATTGACCCAATACTGGAGGAAGAGCCAAGGAAAGTGCAGATGGCACATTGCATGGACTAAATAACTTTCTGGGGTGGACAGCACAGGACAGTGGGGCTACGTGAATTCTCTGGGAATGTCTGCTGACATAGATTCCCATGTCAGCTCTTGAATACAGACAGTGCAAGAAGTGCCTCAGCAGATCTAGGGTTTTCTTGCTTTTCTTTCTTCTTAATCCCAACTATTTGTTTTTGTGTTATTGGAGGATGTCACAACCTTTAATGCAAACAATGTCACAACATTCTCATGAAGGATGGAATATAGAGCTCTTGGCTGTAAAATAGGAACATCAAACCTGAAACCATCACTATACTGCAGGTTTATGCTTGCACTGATGCCTTGGTCAGGTGCATGCAGTGGTACCGTCCTGGTGACATGGCAGTGTTGGCAGGTGCCTCTAGGACTGATGTTAGTTGGATTGCAATGTAGCAAGGCTAGCAAGGAGAGCCTTAAAGTCAGAGTCAACTCTGCTGGAAACAGTACACTTTTATGTGTATCAGTCACAGCTGTGTTAGGAATACTTGGGTGAGTATAGCGTTCCCAATGCTTTATTGCTCTTTTCAGCCATGAAATATCATTTTTCCTGTGTGTCTTTACATCCTCTGACAGAACAGGACCCCAGCTGTAACTGAAGTGCATATGCACAGCTGTAACATAAACATGTATAATAATACTAAGTGTAAACCACAACCTTTGTTAAAAGTGCTCAAAAAGAGTTGAGTTTTATTTTAGAAATACTTCTATGTAAAGGCATTATCACAGAATTTTCTCTATTTGCTTGAAGAATAACCTCCCAAAAAAGTTGAAGCATTTTTATATAATGATCCCATGTAAAAACACAGAAATGGATTAATGCTGGCATTTAAACATTTGTGTCTGATTTTTTTGTGGTGTCTAGGCAGCACTGGCTATCCAGGACAGCCACAAAGAGCTCCACAGGTTAGTACTGCAGGAGAATGAGAAGACGAGCCGGAGCCATGGCTCTCGGCCAAACCTCGTTTTGGAACAAGAGAAATACCGAAATCTGGAGAAACAGAAGGTTGAACTGGCCAACATACACAAATTGAAGCAGCAGTTTCAGCAAGAGCAGCAGCGGTGGCTGCGTGAATGTGACCAGCGGCAGCGGGAGCAGGAGGCGAGGGAGGGCCGGCTGGGGCAGCGGGAGCGCGAGTGCAAGTGTGAGGAGGAGCTGCTGGCGCAGAGCCAACAGGGACTGGCGCTGCAGCTGCAGGAGTACCAACAGAATCTGGAGAGGCTCCAGGAGGGACAAAAAATGGTGGAGAGAGAAAGAGACAATGTGAAAATGCAGAAGAAACTCATGTGGCACTGGAAGCATGATCAGCAAGACAACCTGTTCTCATACAAAGGGAACTATGAGGTTTGTGCTTCCCCATTGTAATTATATCCCTGACTGAATTTCTAGAGACCTGCCTTGATGAATAGACCAGGATGTCTGGGTTTTGTTGGCTCTTAATGTAATGAGTGAACCTGTGGGAAGCTGAGACTCACGCACATCTAAGCATTTTCTTTGAATCTCACGAAGTTTAAGCAGGGAAAGTGCTAAGTCCTTCCTCTGGGAAGGAGCAACCCCATGCATGGGTAGATGCTGGGGATCACCAACTGGAAATCATCTTGACTCTCACAGCTCCCTGAAAGGAGGTTGTAGCAAGGTGGGAGTCAGCCTCTTTTCCCTGTCCTGTAAGAGGACAAGAGGAAATGGCCTCAAGCTGTGACAGGGTAGGTTTGGTTTGGACATTGTGAAGAATTTTGTTGCTGAGAGGGTGGTCAGGCATTGAAACAGGCTGCCTAGGGAGGTGGTGGAGTCACCATCCCTGAAAATGTTCATGAAGCAACTGGGCATGGTAGCTAGCGGTATGATTTAGTTGACCTGATGGTGGTGTGTTGGGTAAAAGGTTGGGCTCAATGATCTTGGAGATCTTTTCCAGCCTTTATGATTCTATGATTCTGTGAAAAGGACCTGGGAGTCCTGGTGTGGAACATGAGCAAAAATCATGCCCTTCTGCAAAGGTGGAACAGAGTCTCCAGGGCTGTACTGGACAAAGTATTGCTGGTAGGTCAAAGGAGGGGATTCTTCCTCTCTGCTCTGAACACTCCTGGAGACTGACTCCCCCAGGACAAGAGAGGCATAGAGCTGTGGGGTGAAGAGGAGGTAGAGACTGGAGGATGGATGTCTGGTGAAGTTCCTGTCTGAGGCAGGGACATCTGTCCAGTGAGGAAAGGCTGAGACTGTTCAGCCTGGAGAAGAGTTCTCTCCAGTGGCACCCAGTGACAAAACCAGAGGCAATGGGCACAAACAGAAACACAGAAGACTAGTTTTGAATGCCAGAAGACTCTTTTTTCTTGTGAGGGTGATGGAGCCCTAGAACAAGTTGCCCAGGGAAGTTGTGGAATCTCCATCATTGGAGATATTCAAAAGCTGCCTGGGCATGGTCCTTGGCAATTGTCTCTGTGTGGCCCTGCTTCCACAGGGGGGCTAGACCAGGTGTCTTCTAGACATCCTTTCCAACATCAACCATTCTGTGATTTTAAGCTGGATACCCTACAAAACCCAAACTTAGCCAGATGTTTATTACATTGAGAAGGCAGAAACTATAAATATGAGTAGCTGTATTTTATTCTGCTGTATTTGTAAGATACCTTGTATCTCTCCATATTGTAGGAGAATTAAATTAGTGTAATCCTTAGGTGTATAAAGCACTTAATGAAGCTTTTGTTTGCTGTTCTTTTTCCTGGACCACTGTCTCCAGGGAGGAAAAGGTGTACCTCCAGGAGTAACAAACATCACACTCTTGTGAACCCCACATATCAGGCCCTGCTGTCCTCTCCCCTGAAACAGCCAGCCCCCTAGGGGAAGAGGTTGGTGTGTGGCTCCATCCGTGACAGTATAAATCCTTGGAGATGCTTATTATTTGGGGGTGCAATTTAAAGTATCTCTGAAGCTGCTCGAGTGTTCAGTACTAAAAATGATTAAGTTTTTGTTGAGGGTGAAGGATGCAGTCTGGCTCTGAACTCAGCTGCCTGGGTGCTCACCTGCCAGGTAGATCCTCATCTCTAATACCTGCTTGGTGGGTGTGGTCTTGATTTCCATAACTGTTTTCTAAAGCACCTGAAAATCAAAACATTTTGGCTGGCTTTTCTACACATGGAAAGCTCACTGACCCAAACAGCCTTTTTTCCCCCTCAGGTTCTCATTTTCACGAGAAAGTCTGTAGAGCGTTTCTTCAAGCCATCACCTCCATAGTTTTTCAGCTGGCAACTCACCCATAACAGGCAGAGACCATTTGGCATCTAAGACCGTGCTTTCATGAGGGGGTAAAGGACTGGCCTCTGACCTCCCACTTTTCATCTGGGTTTTGTGAGCACCGTGTGAACATCACTTATCCATATATGCTTGCTAGCCCAAACAACGAAGACACTTCTCACTAGCATAGCGTGTGCTGTGGTTTTAACTTGTTTGGCAGTGGTAAAGAAGTAAATGATAACACTAAAACTGAAGTTGCCCATCTGCTTTAATGGATGTGACTTTTGAAATCTTTTGAGGAGAGGAAGTTGGAGGATAATAGTTTGGGATATCAAAATAATTAAATGCTGAGTGTCAGAGAGTAGTAGTTTTTGTGATCTAATATTTCATTTGTAAGGCTACTTGTATTTTTTTTTTCAAGCAGATTACGTGGCTTTGAATCCATTCAGACCTTAAGATTATCTTTCTCCCATGTTTCCACTACCAATCTCCTTGCAGCATCAGAACACGTTGAGTGGTTGTCAGTCAGCTGGTATTCCCAGTGCAGTGTTTTTGTATTACACTTAACTCACCAAACAATGCAGTAACTCACACTAATACTCCTACTTTTTTTGTTATTTGTTTGGGCTTCTCTTTTTGGTTTTTTTGGGGTTTTTTTTGTGAGATCTGCCTTAATAAACACCTGCAGATAAAGAGTCTGCAGGAGTTGCATTTTCCACCCTTGGGAGCCATGGCTTGCTTGCTAAAGCTGTTTGCCATCCCCAGTTTGACTGCTGCAGCCCTGTTCTCTGTAATTGCCTGTCTGTGTGAGGTACAGTGTTATTTTTGGATTGCAGAGTACAGATTTACATATGGGAAGTGGCACCTTGTTGAGCCATGAGGCAAAACATTAACCCTCTGGAAGTCAGCAGAGCTCAATACATCCCAGTTAGTAGTCTTTTTTTATCTGTTACTTTGCAGTTATTGCTTGTTTCAAGGTGAGCTAAGACCAGATCTTCTAGGTTATTGCTGTTTATTCTTGAATGCATATCAAATTTAATGTGTTTTGAGGTTAACTTCTGGCAGATTAGATTACTATTTGCTATGAATCCCCATTCTGTCTGGCAGCTAATTTTCTGCATCCTGGTATAAGGTCTCTTCAGGATTACACTCATAGTCATACACTTTAGTTTTACACAGTGAGAAGCAGGGAATTGGATTCCATGATACTTATGAGCACCTTCCAACTTGACATACTCTGTCATTATCTGGTTCTGTTACTGGACAAAGGTGAAAATACAATTCTCTGTTCTGTTTTTCATTGTTTTGTTTTGGTTTTTTTCCCCTTCTGCAGATAATGGGAAATAATCAGTTGGACAGGATACATGGTGAAAATGCATTCTACGTCAATGAAGCTGTAGTGTGTATGTCCCTAACCAGAATCAACAAATCAGATTCTTCTCTTGTTTATGAGGATGGTGTGTATGGGATGAATATCTCAAATTCTGATGTAGCAGGGACTAGTGAAAATCAACTGAACCTCAAAATGGACACTTCCTGTCAGCAAGCATTAACTAATGCACTGTGGAAATCCACTACTCCTTACCAGCAGATGTCTTTTTCCTGCAAAAGCAACAAGGATAATGGTAATTAATACTTAATTTAATTAACCAGTCTTACAGGCAGTTTGTCTCCTCTCTGGCTGAATAGTCCTAGGAACAAAGACAGCTTGGTAGTGGTGGAAGCAAGAGATTTTGGTAAAACAGTTGCATGCTTCTTCTCAAGATTTTTGGTGATAGGTGAGAAAATAAGCAGAACAGAAATACAGAAAATTACTGAAAACCCATGAAACTCCTTTTTGTGTCTGCGTAATAGTACTCAGAATGTGTTTTTCTCTTAGTCTTTTCCCAATGCTTTTCACCTATTTTTGCAAGCAGAAACCACTCTTTTCAAGTGCATTTCACTGATTGTTTGTGAGCACATGTGCACTGCTTGATAATTTCTGGTTAGAATAACTTCTGATTTAATACCTTAGAATTGTAATCAGTTTTCAAACAGCCTTTTCTTGCTTCGTTGATGAATTAAAATACCTTTAAAGATCTGTGGACATACAGTTATATCACTTCTAAGGAGTAATGTAATCTTTGAAGTGTTACATTAGTAACTCTTATCACATTACCTTTCTTTATTCTTGCATTTTACCAGTACCCCAAAGATATGTAGGCTGCATGGCAGTAACTGATTGTGGCTACTAAAATTAGGGGAAGAGGCTGCCTATCCAAGCACTGAATGCACTGAAAATTCCTCAAAGGTCTTAAAAATTTATGAGAAACTCTAAACTATCTAGGGTTTATTCCTCAATTTGCACAATATTTGTTTTGATCTAACTTCTTTCATTAGTGTGAGTTGTAGAGCAGGATGTAAAAACATGAGCTAAAAGTCTTGGGGGCTAATGGTGCACTTTTGGTGTAACAGATTAAATAATCTGAAGGGATTTTCTGCACAGTTGTGAAATTCAGGAGATGTGACATGTCAATGATGCAGCAGTGCCTGAGCTCCCATTTTTCTGCAGCTGGCAGTGCAGAATAAGTTCTATTCTCACATCAGCTTCATGCAAATCAGGTCACAGCAAAGACCAGTGGGCAGCAGAATTAAGAGTTGAAAACATACACAGGTACAATGGTTAATTGTCTTACATCTGTGATTAAGGAACTTACTCCTTACTACTACCTATAATGTATTAAACAGGCATCCAGTACAGCCTTATTAGTCTTTGGTGCATGTTAGAAAACAAAGCATGCTAGAATCAAAGGCAGGGCAGGCTAGTCACATCACCACAATCAGCAAGCCAAGCTGATTAGTAAAAGAGATTAATATTTCTAAAAATGCCTAAATAAGTAGCCTGGTGAAACTCATTCTAGTTTGTCTGCGGCTGTCATTTTAGCTATAGGTATAGGTTAAGCTAGTGCAGATTTTAAAAGGGACACAAATGTAGGTTTAAACCTCTCAAAAGTGGCTTAGCTTGCATACATACATACAGATACAAGCTAACCAGGACACTTTCTGTTGAGCCCACATGAGAGCATCTTTTTTAATTAAACTGGCTTGTACCAGTTTAATTGCATTGATTCTAGGATAAGCTGGTGGAGCTTCTGTATCTCAAGACACAAGGGACCAGCTTTGTGTTCAGCTGTTGTCAGTGCATACTGTGTAGACATCCTTACCTTGCCCTGGTAGCAGGGCACCAAGGCAGTCCCAGCACTCTTGGGGACAAGCTCTAGCTACAGAGTAAGCCTCTGTAAGTCTTTTTTGTTTCTTTTTTCTCTTTCTCTGATTCTACTGCACTTCTGTATTTTTCTTTCCTCCTTTCTGTTTTTCTCAGTCTCCTCTGAGCTGAGCTCCTTTGGGATCTTCCCTTTCGGGGAGCCCCGCTTATCTGAGTTCTCTAGGTTTGAAGAGATCTCCTGAGCTCGTTAGAATCTTGTTTCTCATGTTTATTAGAAGGTTATTACAAAACTTGTCAGGTCTCTCCAGACTAGCTGCAAAAGGTTAATTCACTGCAATCTGGCTCATTTGCTTCTGATGGTACAGAATGGCCTTGTGGCTCACTTTGGCTTTGAAAGTACAAAATGGTCCTGAACTACACAGTTCTTTTATCTTTATACTTATTCTTATCCAATTAACAATAGACAAGTATATTATTTTTCCTGATGACCCAAGGACCCAACACCTGTGTGCTGCACTGCAGCATTTTCTATCCAATCACTTACTATTACCCAAAAACCTCTAGAAGAAGAACATGAAGAAGAAAGAAGCAGGAAAAGAAACAACATTCTTAATCCTCCATCTTGCTTTCTGCTTTCTGAACTAGCTTAATCTCTAAACTAACTTTTTCACCCAGTGACTTAAGAAAACTCTCTAATCTACACACTCACACCTTTAGCTTTTCTATTTAACTTTAACACTTGTTTTCATGTATCACCGTGAAAACATGCTCATGAACTTCATGTTATATGAAATTCAGTGTTTTTCTGGATCTTAGAACTAAGTATCAGAAACAAGGGCACACATTTTGTATCTCAGACTCCAACATCTCTGACTGAGATGTGTTGGCAAAATAAGCAGTTACTGCCCGGGTAGTGGCACAGGACACCTTATGCAGAGGAGTGAAGCAAATCCTTGCAGCATTCTCACGGTTCAGATGATACTGTGAAGCCTACCACTGCACTGCTGGAGCAGTCAGGGCTGGAGGCCTCCCCCCACAGAGGGACGTGACATCACACTCCAAGGCTGCATTTGTGATTCAGAAGGTGACGAGAATTTTATGCTCTGATCATGCAGTGCATGAGTCTGAATGGTTCAGACTTCTGTCTTGCATCAGGACCACGGTACAGGGAAGGAGTGGGGGATGAGAAGAGTACTGAATTCCCTGAGGGACTCTGCACATAGAAATTATGCAAATTGCTTGTTCCTAAGGAATGTCAGTCAAATCAAACAATACAAATATTTCATACTATGAAACAGATTTCCTTTTTCTTTTTTGGGCATAATTTCTCCACCAGAGAGTTTAGCAAAGTTTCAGAAAGTCTCCAACCTTGTGCCTCCACTTTCTGACACCTGTGCAGGATATAGTCGGTTCCAATCACTTTGAAGGAAAACCAACTTAAATGCAATGCAGGAAAGAACTTAATAGCTGTAATCTTCAATATTTTAATGTGGATGAATGTTTCATGGCATTTTTCTCCATTTTCCAGCTAGCTTTGTGCATGAACTCTCATAATCATCTGTCAAAAAGCATTATTAAATAATTGGAAAACATAGAACTAAGAAACAAATACTGAGTATGGTTTACTGCAAATAATTGGAAAACATAGAACTAAGAAACAAATACTGAGTATGGTTTACTGCGTGTAGCCATGTACCTCATACCTACATGACCAGACCTAATATGCAGTTAAAGTTTTGTGTGTACACAAAAGGAATTTCTTGGGTTTGATTAACTTTCCCAGAATTATTAGGCATTTTGTAAGAAGTCTACTTTGTCAAAAAAAAAAGAAGTCTACTTTGTCAAAAAAAAACTCTTAAAATATTTAAAGAGAAGCACCATCTAAACTTGTTTCCAAGGAGTTAATCACTCTACATTCTACCTTATGTTAAGTACTATTCAATTAAGCTTCATAAATACACAGAAATGGAAACAGCTACATTACTCCAGTGCATAATTTTCCATTCATATTTCCTAGGGTAAGACATAGGTCTCTTCACATGGCTAACATCATGATTATATATCATTGTTTTATGTGTATGGGTGGGAACTTTAGTAAAGACCTTCAGGCAAGTTCCCACAATGCTGAAACTGGCATAAATAACCTCACTAGAAAAGGTGTGTCAGTCAACAGGAGGAAAATATGATGGAAAGAAAAATGTGTTAATGCTTTACAGTAATGGTTATGAAATTATCTGCATGAAAGAAGCAAGTACTTTGGCTAATTAGGAAGGAGGGGAAGTATAGGTTTTGTGTCAGACTAGACTGAGAATTGAATAAATTAGTCTTGCATTTAATTGACATGTCAAGGTTAACTAGCCAAAGTGATGCCTAAGGATTTACCTATGGATTCACTTCTTTGATTTCAGGAATCAGTGCAATTTAAATTTTTTTAAGCTTTGAAGTGAACAGCATTGTTTGCTGCTGCTACCTTAACTTCATTTATTCAGATGTTGTAGCTATAGAAATGGAATTGAAACGTGATAGATCTGGAAAACCTCTGAAACTTAAAAATAGTAAGGTTTTACCTAAGGCATTCAATATGATCTATACATGTGATATATATATATATATGTGTGTGTGTATGTGTATATATATGTGTGTGTGTGTGTATATATATATATGTATGTGTGTATATATATATATATGTGTGAAAAACATAGTTTAAATCTTTATAGGGAACAAAGGAAAACCTGGGATCTTCATAAACAGCCAAATGCAAACCCAAAGAGCAAAAATAGAATTCTATTTGACTAATGTAATTTAAATATATTTTTAAAGGAGAGAAATTTGTACACATATGCATATTAGCAAATGAGATAGCTTGACTTTGGAAAACTAATTAATTTATAGTGGCTTTCATCAAAGTAAGTGGTTTCTAGAGATGTAAAATACTTAATTTGCAACAGAAAAAGCAAAAATTTGAGAAACAATGTATAGTATCCTAGAACTCCATATAGTTTATTTGACATTACCTTCCTATTCCTTAAGTGAGATTATGCTAATGGTGATTACTCTGTTGAACCTGTTCTTAAAACTGTATATCAGATTCAATTGCTTTGGTTTCCCATTGTTATTAGAACAGTGCATTTTTTGTCTATATGCTGGTTTCAGCTGGGGTAGGGTTAATTTTCTTCTCAGTGGGCTGACATGGGGCTGTGTTTTGGATTTGTGCTGAACACAGGATTGATAACACAGAGATGTTTTTGTTATTGCTGAGCAGAGCTTGCACAGAGCCAAGACCTTTCCTGCTTTTGGTACTGCCACAGTGGTGAGGGGACTGGGGGTGCTTGTGCGGTTGGGAGGAGACAGAGCCAGGAAAGGTGACCCAAACTGACCAAAGGGAGATTCCAGACCATGTGGCACCAAGCTCAGTGTATG